ATGTCAAAGATTTATATATTAAAACAGAAAAATCTGCTTAAAGATAAAATTAGTAAAATTCTTGAAGACACTGACGTAAACAATGATTTTATGAACAAAACCCTAATCACATGGGAATATCACAAAGAATCTACATCTGAGACCTCATCATATTAAAGAAAACTGTTGCATAGCAAAAGAAAGCACCAACAGAGTAAAGAAACAACCCACAGTTTGGGAAAAATATCTTGCTAGTTGTTCCTCAAAGGACTAATATCAAAAATATATAAAGAACTCAAAACAAATCAGAGCCACCCCAAATTTTAAAGACTCAATTCAAAAATAGGCACCTGAAATGAAGAGCGACTTCTCAGATGAAGGACAAACAGTAAATAAATGCAGAAAAAAATGTTCAACATCATTAGTCATTTGAGAGACACAAATGAAAACAATGCCAAGAGTCCATCGCATCCCTGAAAGAAAGGCTATCACCAAGACATTAAAGAACAACAAATGCCGGTGGGGCTGTGGCAAAAAGGCACCCTTTTCCACTGTGGGTGGGAGTGCAGACTGGGGGAGGCACTGTGGAAATCAGTACGTACAGTCCACGCCAAAAAAAAAAAAAAAATGCAGGTTTATTTGACCCAGCTATTCTCCTTCTTGGTATCTTCCTGAAAGAATTAAAACCACAGTAATACATGCACAATCATGGTAACAATGGCACAGTTTGGAACAGCTCAATTTTGAAAACAACCCAAATGCCCATTAACCAATGAATGATAAAGAAGATGTGGGTTTTTTTTAAAATAAATTGCATACTGTTCTTCCATTAAGAAAGATAAGTTGAGGCACTTCTAGCTAAACGGATGCACTTTGAGACGACATTCTTAAGTGAAATAAATGGGACACACATGTTCAAACATTACATGGTTTTCTTAGTGTGGAAACCAAAGTGTAAATAAAAACCAAAATGTGTAACAGATACTGGAAAAGGGGAAGAAGATGTTCAAAAGGCGAACAAGGGCTGTTGGGGGGAGAGAAGTGACAAGAAAACAATGGAAATAAAGTTTTGGCAAACAAGGGGACAGAGGGTTAAAAAGAGTTGGGTGGGACGGGAAAAAGGAAGCAAAATATATCATACCCAGGTACAAATTCCCTATGATGAATGTCTATATATATATATATATATATATATATATATATATATATATATTATAGCAATAAAATAAAAATTAAAAGTTAATAATATCAGAATTATGTAAGATCATGTAGGCACGTGAATACTGAATAAAAGAATAATTGTAAATTGAAAAATTAAGAGATAGAATTATGTATAATTTTCTAAGGTTTTAGTTTTACACAATCATTATCATCTATAAAATGTTTAGAAATACATGCAAAATGCTGTGGTTACATGGCTGACTGAAAGCCACTCAAGAAAAACACCTGCTCCTTTCATTGCCTATTTCAACAATCACATTTTAGGAAAAGTTATTTTTGAAGCTTTTCCTAATCTTTCTAATGTCATGTCATCATCCCACATCCCTCCAACTAATCAAGAACTGGAAGCAGACATTGTCTATTTACATGTATTCAATCAATGCGCAATTTAACTACCTGACCTTCCATAGCTCAGATTCCTCATCTTGCTGAGCACAGTCCTCAAGTTTAAAAACCTACCCTCATATAAATCTAATCTCCTCTCACCATACATGATCTTAATATATCCTTCCAGAAATCAATTCATTAATCTGTCATTTTAATTCCAGTACTGGTAGTTGTACCAAATTAACCATCTTAAGACCTTTTTTTTTTTTCACCTTGGTTTTTGGTCCTATAGAATGAAGCTCACTTGTTCATACAAAATTAACAATAACTACCACCTCTACGGAGAAATAATGTCTTTGTTTGGATTGTAACATTGAGAAATCTAACTAATATCATTTTTACCTCTAGTTTTATCATTGTTTTCTCATTAGTAAATTTCAAACATGTGAACTTTATATCTGATCACTAGTACCTATATAATGTTTAGTTTAGAATTTTCACTGTGCAAAATTAATCAGAAACACAGCAAAAAAGGATATGATTTTTGCATCTGAACAAAACTACATATTTTATCTTTATATTTTTATCAAACTAAGAAAATCTAAATCTGATGTCAATATTAGAAATAATTACACATGTTACTTAAGGTACTATTTAATATCCTTGCCTTCCTATTATATAGATATACATGTGGCTCAACATAAGCAGGTCATACCCCCAAAAGTTCTCTGGGCTCCCTTTTAAAAAAGGATGGAGGCTTCCATTGCAAGGTGTCAGGTATCCTCTTCCCAGACAAACAACTGGTCTGGCCAAACCCCAAAACCATGCCAATCTGGGGGTCACGCAGGGCGTGACCACCTTTGCAACCCCACCCGCGAGCGTGCCCCAGGTTTGCTCACGCACGAGCTGCCCCACACCTCCCCGGCGCCCTGCCTGGGGACCACTCACCTTGCTGGGCTCCGGTGTCCTCTAGCAGTAGGAGCAGGATAAGTAAGAGCAGGAGGAACAGAGGCAAGGAGGAGGAGGCCAAGGAGGAAGAGGAGGGCACGGAGGAGGGGTTGGGGCCCAGAGACAGGGAGCGGGGGAGGAGGAGCATGGCCCGGGCAGGGGCGGCAGCCGGACTCGGGGACACTGTGGGCAGTGCCTGGCTCTCAACCACCCGGCTAGCCATTGCATTTTAAAATTTCATTGTTGGTGGGAATAAAAACTAATAAAACTATTATGGAAATAAGTATAGAGATTTCTTCAAAGAATTGAAATTAGAGATTTCATATGACACAGTTATTTTCCTGCTATCCTTCCCAAACAGCTCAAATCGTCATACTACAACAATACACGATTACTAATGTTGAAAGCAACACAACTCATAGTAGCTAAATTGTTGAAGCAGTCTGTATATCCATCAATACACAACTGAATAAAGAAAATGCAGTATATATAACAGAATACTATTCAGCAGTAAAAAAACATGACATTTGAGACATTTGCAGGAAAATGATGCATTTGAAGACAGTTTAAATTGGAGATAAATGTAAATGTTTGTAGGAATACAATGTTGAGTGAAATAAAGCAGACACACAAGTTTAGATACCATATGGTGTCTGTCTCATTTACATGATGTAAAGTACAAAGAAAAAGATAAAGGGTGGAAAAATAGGCACAAAGGGATGGATCTCTCACCACAGGTCAGTGACTCAAAGGAATAAGGAAGGGCAAGTGGTAAGGAGGAGGAAAGTGGAAATAAGAATAGAGATGTGCCATTTACAGGAACCCAGTAACTCCAATTAACACAAACATTTTAAACTTTAAAAATAAATAACGTGTGCTTTTGGAATAGATGCACTGACAAAACACAATTACCAAAATCTTACTATATGTTCTGATATTTCTAATATTTCTTTCACCAACTATTTACTATGATTATAAACAAAATTTACTTTAGTTGCTCTTTTCTACTAGATTTTTAATGTAAGTACTACAAGTAGTCTTTAAGGCATGTTTGGCTGCTAAAAAGTAATGTATTGTACTGTTTTTGTGTTCTAGAAGCATTATAGTTCTAGGTATTATTCTGTTTAAAATCTTTTAATCTTTGAATAAAATGACTAGGTAATTCATAAAAGATAATTTACAGATTTGAAATATGCTCTAAGAAATATATTTTGATTTTATGCACTTTTTCTTTTTCTGTAAAGCAGGGTAACACTTCAGTTACACCTAACAGGAAGAAACATCCAAACCATAATTATTAGGATGAAAATCTTTCAGCACTATAATTTTTCAGATGAAGTAATATTGAGCAATATACTATTATAGGTGAACACACATTTCTTCTTTGACCAAAGGCATATATTTTGGTATTTATGAAATCTTAAATAGTACTGAATATTTAAAAATTATTGTAATCAATTATAACCCTTATCATCAATTATTGTAATCAATTATAACCCTTTTAACCCTGTAAAAAGCCATTTTTTTACATGAACACATTTTGTTTAATTTCCTAAAGCTAAAGTAAGTGAAGTGACTCGAGGAGTCCTTTTTAAGCAAGAGACAGCATTCTTTTACGGACAATTAATGTTCTTTTAAGAATTTCCATAGAATCTATTATACTGTCACTAGTTGAGTTTACCTATAACTTCTTTTATTGTACACTTATGTACAGACATATATATTTAATTTTGGCTCTCAAACCTGAATCTATAATTTCATATCATCCCAAAAAGATTACCAAAATTTGAAGTTCATGACAATTTACATTTTGCCTGGTTGGCAGAATTATGTTCTAATAGATGAAATAATTTACTGTTGATATTAATGTAAAAATTCAAACTATCTGTTAACCTAATACAGGGCACATTCTTCTCAAGCTAAACATTTATTGAACTGTGTTCTGTTGGCTATCTTTTTTGGTAGCAGAATAAGTGAAAAGTAACATATTTTGTTTTACACTAACTATACAAAATTTGACTTATAATAAGAAAATGTGACATGGATAGTTTATAAAATTAGTATTTCTTCCTATATGTATTTGGACTTCTGTAAAATTCATTCTAGATCATATTAAACTGTATTCTGAAAATTCATCTTATTATTATTCACAAATGGAGATATGTAAGAATGTAAAATAAAATAGGGTAAAAAATCATGTGTTATGCTTTCAATTATCTACTATTTGGGTATCTATCCATATAGACATATAATAGATTGGCTTTAATCTTAATACCTAAATATTTCTAAGTAACTGAGAATATAATTAAAGACGTAAAATAGATTCATGTTACCCCTGAAAGTAATTTTGAAAATAAAGACATCTTATGTTTAACTATAAAACATTCAATAGTAAGATTTCAAAATAATAAATTTTCTACTTTCTCTGCTTTTATATGAAATATTATACTCTCCAAAATACAACAATAAGTATTTTAAAAGTTCCATAGTTATACATACTTTTTCCTACTTATGTAGATCTGAAATTTTCTGACAGGAGGTTATGATCATTTTCTTTTACAAAGTCCAAAATTAACCTTTATAATGAGAATTCATACAAAATGAGCTGTTTCACATCCCTCTGGAAACCAATTCCAATGCATTTTGTCTAACTTGTTTTTAGATTCCATAAATGTATCTGGAAAATCCAATTTTTTGTTAGAGTGCACTTTTTAATAAGAGTTTCTCTACTAAATTCTGCAATATTGCTACTTATTTCTGTCAACTTATGGCTTGTGTTTAGATGCCACAAAAGCTGTTGTATGTGGTCATAGATGCAGCTTTTTGGAGATGGCTGGATCTAGGGTGTGTGGTATGGTTTATGGGGTCAAGGATGTGATGCAGCGATTGATTTATGATGTGATGCTAAGATGAAGGGTGTGCATATTACTCACCCACAAAGTTGGAGAGAGAGAAAAAGGTTGATGCTTGTAGCTGCCACTTTACTGCTGTCTACCTGCCACAAAATATTTCTCTTCTTTAATGCCCCTGTGCTGGAGCGAATTAACTATAAACTGAAACCTCCATAAACTGAGAGCTAAATAAGCCCTTCCTCTTTTAACTTTGAGTATCAGATATTTTGTGTCTGAAATGGGAAAAGTAACTAAGACAATTATGACATAATGTACACCCACACAGAGCCAAAGTTAAACAAGTTGGAATATCTGGAATTTATGTTTTTTTAAAGGCATAAACCATACCTTCTAGAACTGAAATTAATTTTAGCAGAAATATATGAGAGCAAGATTTTATTTAAAAGGAAAAATTTACAGTCTATTTGAATGCAACTATTTCTATAACTATATTTACAGGTGTTATTCATAACTATGTTTGTGTTTTAAAAAGCATGTCTAAAATCATATTTATTTTTTCACCCCCAAAATCTTAAGTTTACACAATTTGAAACTTTCCTAAGTAGAAAATTATTCACTTATCATGGATCAAAAGACATTTAAGGATAGCAAAAGGACAGTTTGTCATTATCATTTTTACCTTAATCTTAAATCCTTTTTAAATGAATTTCATTAGTGAGTATATATATATATATATATATATATATATATATATATAATTTAACAGATACTGTGTGATTATTTTCACTCATTGCAAGAATTCAGCCATAGAACATTTTGTTTAATGTGAAATTGTGGGGCTGGGGATATAGGTCAGTGGCACAGCACATGCTTGGCAAGCATGGGGTCATGAGTTTGACTCTTAGTAAAACAAAACAAACAAAAAAACCCCACGTGAACTGGATTATATCACTTTTTCAGAATAACTTTTTCATGTCTTTAACTTACAATAAAAGTTATTTATTTATTACCTTCTTGGTAATTGGCTGGTTGATTGAAGACTGACCCAGAGCACTGAGCAGCCATTCCACACAGACACTTCCCAGCCTTATAAAAACCTACCTTCAACATGGTATACACAAAGCCTTCAAAACTTCTCCTGGAGATCTTTAGTTCCACATTACTACCTGCCTCAAAAACCATGCCACTCACACATTTAATTTCATTGTATTTCTTTATGTCATTGTGTTCTCTTAGGATTTGTAAATATGTCTAATAAAGCCTTATCTTTCTACCTTTTCCCTGGCTAAACCCTACCATCCTTCAGGGCTTCAATTAAGAGTGATATCTTCTAGGAAACTTTCCTTAACATTAGTTGTTAATCAAAATACTTTCTCTATCATTGTATGAAACCTAGTATTCTTCCTATCAATGCAATTACGTATTAATATTTTTGGGGGATTTCTTGTTCACTACTTAGTATCTAATGGCAGAAATTTCATGATGGTGTATTTGTTGTTCTCACTATATACTGTGTCCCAGCTTATTCTGAATGTCCTTAGTGATTTTATTTATTTCAAAAAACAGGATTGTACAGGGGTCACTTAATAGTATACAGTATGTGTAGCATTACAACAGTTACATGTTACATATTTAATGACTTAGTTGATGTGTGGTGAGAAATAAAACCCTTTAAAAAAGTAAGAGTGAAGACGTGTCACAAAGCTTAAGGGTGAAGTTCAAAATGACAAAAGTTTTAGAAGATGAATCTGATTTTTTAAAGATACTCACTTATGTTCCACTCCTGTCTAAAGTTATCTGAATTTGAGATGGGTCCTTTCTTTTTCATATTTCTTGTGTTCTCTAGTTCAATGACATCTAAATTAAGATCATGTATATAAAATAAAGGAAAAGTAACCAAAGGCATAAAAATGGATGATTTTATAATATGAATGTCAAGTATATAAAAGGATATCTAAATCTATATATTAAAATATGCAGATCATACTCTAAAGTATTTTAAAATGAACAATTTTTAATAGTAAGCCTGTTCAAATGATTACATAGAGTTAACCATTACCTGCATATGGATTGTTTTAAATAACATACTATCATCAGTTTTATTTTTAAATGTATGTTAAATATGTGCATAACAGGAAAATTTGTAAATAATATGAAATAAGCAATAATTCGCTTGGCATTATGTTTGAATAAATGTTAACCTTTGTGTTGTTAATTTCTATATTTTTGTTTCAAAAAGCAAATTTTTACAAGCATCATTCATATCGATATCCCCTGCTTATGCCATGGATAAATACAAAGGTAGCTTATATCTTAAAATTGATGTTCACTGTTCATATTTTACAACATATATTGATAATTTTTATGATAAAGTCTTCTCAAGGATTTAAAATCACCCTTATTTTAAAAATTCATATTCTTTCATTAAAGCAAGATTAACCTGAAAAACATTAACATGGGGTTTTAGTATCTTTGAATAGAAAAATTAAGTTGAATAAATAGAAATAGCACTGATTTTGTGACCTATAATCACAAAATATGAGCTTTTCAATATACTAAACTTATATCTGATATTTTAATTTTTATGATAATTACATATATTCATTAGAATTAATATTATACCTGTAAAATTATAGCCAAATATTTCCAACCATATATGTTGAATATTAACAAGGCTAATTTTTAAATATAACAGCATTTTCTCCTAGCTGGCTTGATTTTTCTAATTAAAGTTATAATATCAGTATAGCATAAGCAAATACATCAAGGTATGTCTTAAGCACATATATTAAAGTCAAACAACTCATATGGCATTCAAAAGCATGTAGTTTCATAAATAAAATGAAAACAGGATACTATGTAAGACAGGAACAAGAATTTTTCAGTTAGCAATAATAACTATGTTCCTAAGTATGGGCCAGGAATTCTACATATACTGATGAACAAGATACACTTTACCAACCTTATACTCTTAGGAAGAAACACGCAATCAGTGTTACCAAACCTAAATAAAGCAATAAAATTATAGAGAATGATAAACTGGCAAGGTAAATTTAAACAGTTTTGGTAAAGCCTTTTCCAGGGAAGTGATATTTGAGCAAATAATTAACTGAAGTGGGAAGAAGCCACGCAAAACTTTCAAGAAGGAACGTCTATGACCAAAATGCAAGTTTTCAGGTAAACTGAAGGAAAGAAGGAAGGCCATTATATCTGGAGTAGAGTGCAGACCAGAGGGAGTCAGAGATGTTGGCATGACAAGGGAAGCCAGACCTTATCAGTTTGCCTCAGAGTTAAAGGAAGCTATTGGAAGACTTGAGCAAAACCCTGATACAATCTACTTTTAAAAGAATATTGTGGCTATTAGGGGAAGTAAAGAGCAAGAAAAATAAGACAGCTCAATTGTCGAGCTATTTCTACATTAAGAGTAAAGACGGCAGTTGTTATGCTGATGGCAAGCGGTCATATGAAAGATGTATTTCCATTGTAGGAAGGGATCAAGGCTGACTCAAAGATTTGTTAACAGAGTAACTAGGTGGATTATTTTGGCTTTTGCTGTTACTGTTGTTTAAAAAAATGTAACCATAATACAATACCCTGTCCAATCCCATGTCACTCCTATAAATAATTTATATGAATACACCAAGGCCATACCTAACCATTTTTGAACACTGCAAAATGTAGACAAAGATAGATTTTTTAGATCAATATAAGCAAAAAAAATGACAGACATTAGAGTTATTCAGAGAAGGACTGGACATTCTCATTAGTTAATGCACTATCTATTAATGGGACAGTACAGACACAAAAATGCTACTCTCAGCAACGTATGGAAAGATAGAGGTTTAGATTGCAACACTCCTGTACTGTATGATTGAGAAAATAAATGTGTAGACATACAGAGGACCTTGCTCAAGGTTAAATATAAATTAAGTAGCAAAGCCAGAATCCAGGCTTAAGTGCTAAGAAATCTGACATTTTAAGGTCAAAATGTTCTGTTGCTCACATATTACACTTGTTCCGTTACTCATTTCCTGAGTTTTAGGATGTCTTTTTGCTTTATTTATGTATAAATCAAACGTATACTGGCCAAGTTCAACATGAAATGCACAGTGAATGTTTGTTTGAAAGATGTAATACTTAGAATACTTTTCAGTTATTGCATTTTTAGTTTGAAAGTTTAGAAACTAATTTACACTGATAGTACAGTGTTGCCACATATCTTTTTATTTTTTTATTTTTTAAAGAACTATCTATATCTTTTTAAAAGAGCTAAATGCACATAAATTTATTGAAACCACAAATATGTACACTTATTTTTATTACTAACACATACAAATTGCACAAACACCACATATACGGATTTTGCCTTGCCATATACAAATAAGGAGACAGAAAAAAGGAATAAATATCAAACAAACTAATATTCAAAGATATTTGTGAAACAAAACTTATTTTGTATTTTTCTTTATGGCAAAATTTTCCCTCGACACTTAGTTTTGAAAACTCTTTCAAAGTTTATGAGTCTTTGAACTAATTTGAAATTAAATTAATATGAAATAGGGTTAATATTTTAATTATCTGGCATATCTAAATACTACCTTTCTACAGTAATATTAATTTAAAATTAAATTTTAATTTTAAACTATGAGTTAATGTTACATTAACTCTTTCTTGAAAAATCTCTTCTATTTTCCAATTTAAGAGTAGAATTAAAGCAAAATGGGGAGAAACCAGGAAGCCCCCACCTGTGAGTCCACATAAAGCTCATAGTCTGAGAAACTATTTAGAGGAAAACAATATGCAATATAGTAACTATTGTAGATTTCCTATCTCAATTCATTTTCTTTTTGTTACATTCCCTTTAAAATAAAAAATCCATACATAAAAAAGAATACAGTTCAAGCAGCTAAATTAACATGAAAAATACTATATTTGCATTTCAAGACCTATATTTCTTATATTCCTTGATATATACTGGTACACCTAAAGACTGTTTTCCAATAATTGAATCAACGTAAGCCAAAACAAATTGCAGCTCCTGTTCTCTTTCTTTCCCAACTGCTTCAATTACTTTACAAAGCTCTGAACACTCATGAACTTCTGGTACAGAGCGGATTAATTCCATCAAAGTCATCCCCTTAATACCAGATTAGAATCATCCTTTCATCTTGTAATGTCTCCAAATAAGCTTTGTTTTGCCATATTTGACTTTGACTTTTCTAAAAAAAAAAAAATGTAATAACTAAGGAGTAATAAAACCCAAAATGTGTAAATTGTGTTGTAAAAAAGAGAGGGGAAAAAGTGCTCTAAAGGATACAACTGCAAATGTGTTTAGGGATGTTAAATAGATGACCATATTAATGTTTTTGGTTGGATCATTGAACACAATTGTTTGTGGTCTCGCTGTTTGAATGTGCACTTTGTATGCTTTGATACTGTGACTTGAGCAACTATCTCTAAGATGATAATGTGTAATATATTAACTGGTGATTTCTTACTGTGTTGTTTTTTTTTTTTTGTAGTTCTGTATTACTTGTACTCTTACACAGCTTTGTTTTGTTTTTTTTTTCTTTTTCCTTTTAAATAAAATTTAAAAAAATATCATTTGCTTTCTTTGTCAACACTTCACAACAATGACAGCAAGAAAACTGTTTTCCTTATTGAAAAAAAAATATTAAGGAGAACCCAAATACTTGCTGCCCTTTCTACAACAATCCTCTCACCTAACCAACTCTTGTACTGTTATTCCACTGCAATTCAATGAACAGCTCAGTTAACAATGCCAACACATGAAATGCACCATGAAATATAAAATGAAAAGTTTTAAAATCAAAGAGAGAAAAGAAATACAGTTTTATCCTACTATACCAGATTAGAACTAAAGATAAGCTACCTGAGAACACAAAATATGAAGGAATACAATATAAAGTCCAAACTTTTATTTAAAACTGTGTAATCTTAGGCAAGTTACTGGTTTAATGAGAATCTATATGAAAATTTAAATTAAATAGATAAATAAGTAAATGTTGGATCTGTGGTTCAGTGCAAAAGCCTAAAATTCAGTTTACCAGTAACACAACCCTACACATGACAAAGAAGTATGCAAGTCAGTATTTAATTTTGTTATACTCTGTTATTAGTGAAAAACCATAGCAAATCTTTGGTGAAGTATCTTAAACATTATACAAAAATTTGTGACTGTTCAGTTTTACATCCACAATGCTGAGAGACAAAAATAGAAATTAAATACACATATAAAAGGACAAATTTACCTTTGGTGGGGAAAATATTTAAACTTATATAAACTCATAGAAGAAAAAAATTCAGAAAACATGAATTTATTTAAACACAGAGATTTCCAAGGTTGTTATTTAAAAGCATATTGTAAAATGTTAAATTACATAAAATACTTAAATTTGGGAAGGGAATATTGGATACTTTAAAACTGACAGTAAAACAAACATTAAACCTTCCACTGAATATTAAAGACAAAATTATCAAAATGAACATAAGATGCATACAAAAGGTGCAGAAATAAGGTATATATATGACAATAGCAGGAAAGAAATGCAAAAATTTCATTTGTCTCTACTTAATATAAATGAGTAATATAAATGTCTTTTAGAAACCAGAAGTGATTCTAGTAAGTTTCTGATCATCACAATGAACAGATAATTAGAATACAAGGAAATGGAAAACAAATGTTTTCCAGTAAACCATATAGTAAGTAACACTTGAACTGCCATTCTGTTGTTGTTGCTTGTTTATGAGACAAGGTCTTGCTATGCACTTCAGGCTGGACTTGAGTTCACTTTGTAGCCCAGGCTGGTCTCAAACTTGCAACAATCCTCCTGCCTCAGCCTTCTGAGTACTGGCATTATAAATTAAGCCACCAAGCCTGGGTTTGAACAGCACTTTGACTATAATCATTGCATAAGAAATACTAATAAGGAAGTAAGGTAAAATGCTGAATGGGCGAATCTTAAAATATTTGCATTCAAGGAAACTATAGCCTTGGATTCAATTAAAATTTTAGCAGAACACTGAATGTTAATGATATAACATAAATCAAAGGCATGCCTATTATTTATAATATTTTGTTCTTTCAATTTCAGCAGATCTTTCTTTGTGAACTTCCATAATGCTTAATCAAAAATGCAGGACAAGTAGTAGGAAGTCATTTTTAAATGTGAATTTAGGTGTCTATATGTACCCATTTAATATACAATCTCTTCTCATTTTCAGAATTTACTTACTTGGAAATTAGTATTTTGCAAATGTAGAACCAATTACCTTATCTTTATAGAATTTTAGGTTCTTTTTTCTGTGTTCTGGTTTCCCTTTTACTTCTAATGAACCGTATTCTTCATACTTTTACACACTCTACTCACATGTTTCTACACAGATGATATTAAAGAATCTTTACCTCTTCCTAGCTTTCCCAGGTTACCTACTAAGGAACTCTTGCCTGCCAGGTAGTCTCACTGACACCAATGAACAACAAGTAAATTAAGACAAAAATGTTATGTCTGGAAATTGTGGACTAAGGTACAAAGGCACAGAGATACTTTAAATACAGCATAGCACACACAAGGGCACACAGCATGCCAAGTGTCTGAACTGGATGAGCTGTGACATAGTGAGGTCCCTTGGCAATGTGCCCCCAATGCTCATTGCATAGAAAAGTGAAACGCAAAATTCTTGATGCTTTGTGAGTAGGTGTTGGAACAGGAAGAACAGGGTTCCAAGAGGACAGAAACTGAGAACCAAAGAAAACAGAAGCCAGAAATAACTGAAATTGACCAAAGACACTGCCCACTTTGCATAGAGTATTGATCTCAGGTCATCATGGAAATCTGAGACTATAAGAACTGCAGGAAAAAAAAAAGACAGGAGATAGATGGGGCTAAAAGTTATAACTCACTTTACTCTTGCCAGTATCCTTAATAATCTCTGATAAGTGCACCTAGATAATACAAGATGTTTTTTAAAAAATGAAAAGAAAGTTTTGAGTAATTCATTGAGGTTTTCATACTCAGTATGATCTGTATTCATTGGACTTATTATACTCAGATTAAATAAAATATAAAGTAGTTTTTAAGAAACAAGTGTTTTCATGATTTTGAGTTGTTTAGAAATGTACTTAAAAAGTTTCTCTACTGAATAAAGCCTAAATTACCAGAATATGAAATGTACAATAATCTATGATAAAATGTATTATTTCTACAACTTACAAGTTTACCTTTAAAAAATTCATATATGATAAAATAATATTAATTTCTTTTCTCAAGGGATTCATCACTCTTGGGAATTCCTAAAATAGCTCAAAACTAACATGAGAATACTGAATAGTATTCTTTACTTAAAAGGTTTTCCTAAAAATTTAAAAGTTTTGTTAAAGTAACAAAATGTATGCAACATTTCAGTTTAGGTATATTAATTATTATAGAAATCAATGCTATCAAATTACTATTACTAATAGTTTAGTTTGTACAACATTTATAACTTTTATTTGATTTTTATAAATCTTCATTGCAGAAAGATATCTCATAGATAATCTTAAATTAAGTAGAATAATTCAGGATGTTGCATGAATAAGCCATGTGACATGGAGTAGCTTCATGTTCAAACTTATAGTTCTGATCATTTAAATTACAACAAAAATACAAAAAAGGAAGAACATGTCCAATTCTTAAAGTATTTCAATTAATTTTAAAATTAAGTATCCCTGTAAAAGTAGACTTTGATTTACAGATAAGAAAAAATATTAAGAATCCAGAGTTTTGCAAAGATCTGAGACAACAGAAAACATCTATAATTTAATGAAACTGCAGCTTAAATGTAGGTTGTAGTTAATTTCAAAGCCATTTTACCCCTTACAAATTATCAATAAATAGGCAATTACATATTTAAAAATGTGTTGTATATGCTTTTTAACATTTGCTTGGCAAGATTCTCATAAATGATAATATCAGAAAAGAATACAAAACTTTCATTATTTTTACAGTTTGTAGGATTAACTTTCTAATACACAGAATATCTATAAAATGACCTGAAATAGTTCAGGTCATGCTATTGGCATGAACTTGACACTAGTTTTAATGCCCTTTGTCCACTTTGTCTGTTTCCAATTTTAGTTTGACAGGTAAAACATAATTTTCACTTCTTTAATGGCTAATTTTCTATCTGCTAGACATTTCATACAGATCATCACCTTACATCTTACGGTTTACCTTAGCTATGCCTATTTTTATGTTTACTCATAAGCCATACTTGCTATATTTAAGTTAGTCAATATTCTGAAAACAGATTAGTGTAGATTTGTTTTCCTAAGTCATATGGGTCAGAGAAACATTTGTTCTGCTTCTACATTTTACAAAAAAAAAAAAAACTCAGCTTTCTACATAGATATGTTGTGATTTGAGTACAATATGAATATATTTTGAAAATATACTGACTGGCAACTACAAAGGCAGTTGACAGTCACATAAAAGATGTAAACTATGAATATTAGTATGAATGATTCCAGGGCAGTTTATCATTTTTTGTAGATTATATTTAAGACATTTTGTGTGCTACAGTCAGAGTGTCCCCATTTAGGCACCTTTTAAAAGAATGACTTAAATTTAAGTACCCAAGGCTTATCATAATGTATAATTAGAAATAATTTTAATCTAACATTACTTATAATTTAAGAAAATCTGTTTTAATCTAATGGAATATTCAACTTCAAAACATTGCTTATGAAGATTTTTTCCCTAAACTCTAATAATAAAAAGTTATGAAAAGGTTATTAAAGTAAGAAGTGATGATAATTTTGAAAAATATTATGTTTTGTTTTGTTTTCTTTTCTTTTTTGAGGGGGAGGCAGCACCAGAGAACTGAATACAGAGCCTTCAAATTGAAATACATACAATAGGCCTTTTCATATTTTTTACTCAGACAAAAAATCTTACTAAATTACTAAATTGCCTGGGATGAGCTCAAATTTGCAGTCTTTCTACCTCAGTCTCCCAGAAGGTGAAACTATAGGAATGCACCATCATACCTGGCTTGAAAAAGTAATTCCTAATGAACCTGTTTTCTAAAAATTCAGTTATTTCATTAAATCACAGCACTCTTTGGATACTACAACTTCCCCATCTCCTTTCCCTAAAAATTAAAATTACATATTTAAAGCATGATTGTAGCAGAAAAAAACATATACACAATAATCTGTGAGCAAAAACACCCTTAAAATACTTCCCATAGGAGAAAAAAGAGGACTGTGTTAAACTCTACATTTCTGCCCATGCTCCCCTCCACTCCTATGGGGGCGCCTTGATTTCCCTGGTACTTGTCATTCACCTGAGCTCACCAGGCGCTGCCCTTGCTAAGTGCTGCCTCTCTGAGGACCCTCTTCCGTGGACAGCCAAATGGATCACCATCCTTTTCCTTGGCAGTTTGCTCAACTATTTTTTATTAGTGAGGTCTCCAGCTTCAATTGATTACTCTTTCTTCATTACCCTACTGATCGATTTCTTAGTTCTTATAGTTACTTTACATCATTTTTATTTATATATTTTTATATAAATCATTATTTACATAATTAATTTACAAATTGATTTTCTCTCTGTACTAAAATGTAAGCAAAACAAGTAGAAGCTTGTCTGCTTTGTTCAAAATACAGAGGTTTAAAATACACCTGGCACCTGTGGACAGTGCTTGTTGACTGTATGAAAATACTAAATACATGCATGTAGGTAGAATTTCCCAGAGTCTGATGTTGCTTGGTTCCCTGTAAGACTCTTTTAACAAGACACTGAAAACAAGAGAGCAGACAACACTTGGCCTTGTCTGCCTTTGAATCACCCGCAGATGTAGGGTTAGTTCAAGTCTCTATAACACAGTGCTCACTGGCTCTGACTCCAGGCGATGCAGCAGGAGCACCTGAGGTGTGGACTCCAGCAATGGTCTAGGTTAGTCCAGGAGATGCAGCCAGACTCTGCTGACAAGCTTACATTAGTGCATCTGTGAAGCTTGCTGAAAAGAAGAGGGGCAGCCGAAGTAGCCACTGAGCACTGTCCTGGAGCACAGAGGAATCACTTTCTCCTTCTGCCCAACAAACTTAGGAATGATGGTAATATTCTGCAGTTACTGATCTTCATGCATATTTATTTCCCTTTTTACTCTTCTAGTTTCTAACACTGGGTGAATTTTCCTCTTTTAAATTCTCTGCGTCTGAACTAACTAGGAAGGTCACAGCTGTCCTACTTAGCTAATACTGATTTTGTTTTTAAAGTAACTGTCTGCCAAATACCTGCTCAATCTAATAGCAAGTGTGCCCACTCTTCATAATGCAGGAATCACACAAAATGTTAGAGGATGCTGAGATAGCCCACAGTTGCATCCTGTCTGTGTCTTGCCTACCTTTCATCATCTTCCTTAGTTGTGTGTAATACACAATTAGATTAAAATGGAGGTACATTCTGAGACACTGGCCTAACAATCTATACCCTCTATAGGAAACCAGTATTTTGTGACTCCAATATTTATTTGTTAAGTATAATACATAAACATACATTTTTGGGAAGCTGAATCTTACATATAGCATAGGTAGCACATAATTCATAAGGTCAGTTATATCCAGGTAGTTGATTATACCAGTTTGTATGACTCACTAGAAAGTGATTAGGGGTGGATTTAAAACTCTTAAAAACTACAATTATACTTGTAAAAATCTTATACAGAAAATGAAGCCAAAATCTCCCTTATTCTGCTTGGCAGCAGAAAATTTGTAACCATGACACCTCCACCACCACAGTTTGACCCTTATTCCTCTTTGCTCTAAGAACTAAGATACCATGCTTACCCAGATGAACACAAAGGGTTGTTGTCCAAGTTATAAATCATGTAATTTTGTTTTATTATATCCTCTTAAATTGAATAATCCTGTCTTAATCAGTGGTTCAAGCATTTGTTTGCTCATCACAAAATATAGAATTCAATATGAATATCATCTATTACTTTATCACTTTTTCAAAAATACAAAGTTAAAAAAGTCACTTTGCAGAGTCATTTCAATCTAATCCTGAATTTAGATATCACAGTATAACAAACTGGAAGATACTCATCTAATTTTCTATGATAGCATGATATTTACAGTATTATTATCATAAAAATATGGTTACACAATAGAGAGCCTTGAAATGGGATTTTGCATGAAAGTGTATGTACATCATGACAATCCTCTAAGTCCACACATAGAAATCCACCTATCTTCCTTTTGACAGTCAGTGTGTGTGCTGCTTTCTCATCCACACACTCAAATGTTTGGGCTATTAGTCACATTACTCCACTTGGATTAAATTATGGTGCCTATAGCAGAGCTTCTCCTGGCTATTGGGAATACCACAATTGACAAAAAAGCTCTATAGTCTCACATAAAGTCTTTTTCCCCATGTATTTTATCCTCTCCTAGTAGGCTCCCTTTGGCTATCAAGTATCCCATATTTTGTAACAGAAGTGATATTTGTTCTTTTCCATTCTTACTCAAATGTGTAGGTAGACAGATCACTAATCAAAGAAATTAGATTTCCTATCTAATTTCTGACCTGTAGCCTGTTATAATGGTTAATGTATTATTTGGGTTAAAAGAGTCAAAATGAGACAATTCATGGATATTCTACTTGTTTCCATCAACATTACAGGTTTTGCATAATAGATGACTAGCTAGAGGACTAGCTAGAAGACTATAAGGATGTCATTAATCAGTTGTCTTCTATCTCCTAAAAACAATTCTTTGAAATCAGTCTTTGAAGGAATATGACAGAGATAAATAGGACACTTATTTGCACTGCCATATGCCAGAGCTTATTCTTGCGGCAAAACCACTTTATATAAAGCTACTAAGCCAGTAACATTCATTCTACTCACAATGAGGAAACTCCAAAATCAATCCTCTCTTTCTACATTTGTTGGCAAAGACATATTTTTTGTTTCTCAAATGTCGTCTTTTATTTATTTCTAATTTCCTATACTTCTGTATTCATTATATTCAGTGTCTTCCTTCTTTTAGCCCCACTTTGATTCTTTTTCTTATAACTGAGGTCTCTAAAGCATATTCCTCAAATATTCTTATTTCAACACATCATTTATTATAATTGACACTCATAAAAACATCTTGTATAACTGAATATTCAGTTATTTGAAACAGTTGCAAAATGAAAACTGATCATTTGCTCCAAAGTGTTATCACCTTAACTTTTGTTTAAATCAGTTTATCTTTAGCTTGCCTTCAATGATATTCTGATGAGTTTTAGTAATATTTAATTCCTTTTGCAGTAATTCAACCAATTGGAATAAAAATGATGTATATGCAAGAATAGTGTTCAATTCATTGTGGTAATTTGTAAATTAAATAAACAGTAGCATTTTCTTTGCACTATAAATTACATATGGAGCTTCTCCCCTCTGAGCAATTTTACAAAACAAATGTTTCAGCTGGTGCAATCATCCATCTACATTAGAAACTTTCTTATAACTGAGTTATTATAAACCGAGTTCTTGTTTTAATATTATAGTGAAATATTAAAAACTAATTGAGAGAAGCTTTATCGAACCATAACTTTTTCCTTTACTAAGACATGTAAGAGTGGCCATTATTTTAATTACCAATAAAACTATCAGTACATTAATAAATACCTAGGAGAACTAAATGATTTATTTATGCTTATTATCCTAGGGCAGTGAAGGTGAAATTTTTGGAGGTTTCAGTGTTACAAACAGCCCACTTCAACACACATGCTATAGGTTCATCACCACTGTCCTAAGACAATTAGTAACAATACTCTCTTCATTCACAGAAGGAAACTATTTGGATAATAATAATTTCTTTTAGTTTCCCATGACTTACAATATGGGACAAACCAAAGCCTCACAGTGGGAAACACAGTAATCCTAAGGAATTAAAAACGGTATCTGGTTTGGTTTGGTTTGGTTTTGGCATCCAGAGAAAATAGAGCACTACAGCTTTATAAGCTAAGGTATGGGAATAAATGGTGATAAACCAAGTCATAAAGGCCAATGAAGGATTCTTTCCTTGAGCCTTAGGAGGAACTCTGACCTTGACATCTTAATTTCAGATTTTTGGCTCCAGAGTTATAAAACAATAAATTCAATACTGCAGGATATTCTAAAAATGAAAAATACCAAGATTCCAGAAACAGTGGCAGAGAGGCCACCATGAATGGAGCAGAAAGTAAAATGAAGAAGACAAACTGACAACTAATGACAGAAAAAGAGCTCAACAGAAATGAGGCAGAGAAGGTTGGATGGTAGGAACAGCCATTTTGGAGAAAACAAGACATCATCATAGGTTGTGCTGATTTAATATCCTCTTGTTTTAAAGTCCCATCAAGCTTTTGTTCTTCTGTCTCCATCAGTTTTAACGTGTTGTATCTTATTGGATTTTATTATATGTGATGATATAAACAAAAACTTTTATAGACAAGGAGATTATACAGAAACCATTGTTCATTTTCTGTTAGTTGATTCTGAATACCCTGTAATACTGTCATTCTCTTGAATGGTTTTACATTGTCTTGATATGTTTGATGCTACAATACACAAAGTTATACCCAAAGATTTCAAGGAAAAAGACACTATGGTAACTACTTTTATGTCGGGATTATCTTGTGGTGAAACACTATTTTGCTTAAATGGTTATGTTTTGACCTGTGCTGATTTGTTGTTATGTTCTCTTTTATCTCAATCTCCTTTTTATTATCTACTTTTTCATTTTTATCCTTTTAATGAAGGGAAAAATAAAAAAAAATAACAGGACATATTATAGTAACCCACTTTGATTTCCTATTCACTTGATTTGAAACCCTGTATTGCTCTCACCATCTTGTTTTGACTGATTTTCCTCTATTTTGTTTTGCTTGATAGTACCAAGTTCGAAAGTATAGGCAACAACTATGAAGACAGTAAGATCATTATGAGCCCCATTCTGGTTGACTATTATCTTCTTTTGAAGTCCTAATATCTCCAATATTTTGGTTTTATTGGTTTTGTTCTTTACTGTTTTGTTCAATTTTATTATAACTGATGATATAGCAATTCTTTTTAAGATAGCAAGAGGCATTATATTAACCATTGTTGATCATCTTGTATTTTGTTTTTACAGTATGTATTACGTCCATCCTTTTGATTTGACTGACTCTGTCCTATTATGTCATATTTGGTTTTACTCTCTTCAAAAAAAAAAAAAAAGTAATAAGAACAGTAGGAGTAATAAAACCCAAAATGTGTAATTGTAATTGTACAAAAGAGAGGAAAATAAAGTGCTCTAAAGGACATAACTGCATGTATATTTAAGTGTATAAGATAGGTAACCGTATTACCGAGTTTTATTGGATCATTGAACAGAACTGTTTGCAGTCTCACTGTTTGAATGTCCACTCTATATGCTTTAATTTTGTAACTTGAACAACTATTTCTAAGATGACAATATGTAATCTACTAACTAGTGATTTCCTGTTTATTTTTTCTGAAATTCTGTATAATTTGTACCCTTTTTCTGTTTTTTTCTCCTTAAATAAAATTTTTAAATAAGACAATGCATCTGAGTTAATTTGTCATGATTGTCCTAGATATATAACAAATTTCACTTATACTTCGAACTACTCAAGAAGTTATTGGAATTATCTGCAAATTAAATTTCCCACATGGATAAAGATTCACTGGTCATACTTATTATTTAAGTAGTTTATGAATGGAAAACACTAGGAATACTAGAATTCTTAGAAATACTGAATTATGACTCTGACTTCACAATGAAATATACTACATGGTAGTTGGAGTAAGAGTACAAAGGGAGATGCTTAGTTTAGATCATGAATGTTCTGCCAAGGTTGACGTACTAAAGGCTTGGTCTTCAGCCTGTGGTGGTATGAGAAAATGTCTTTTAGGGGTGTGACCCAGTGGGAGGAACTATGTCGTTGTTGATATGATCTTGAAGGGGATACTGAGACCCTAGCCCCTTCCTGCTTCTTTTGTTTGCTTTCCAGCAAAGAAAGCAGGTTCCTCTGCCACAAATTCCATCATAAACCACTTCAACTCAAGGCCCAGAGTGGCAGGCGCATTGACCATGGACTAAAACCTCTGAAACCATGATCCCAATTAAACTTTTATTCCTTGTAAGTTATTTATCTCAAGTATTTTGTTACAGTACTAGAAAATAAACTAACACAGCACAAAAGCATTTGGGAGGTTGTAAGAATATCATTTCTATGTGTACACTAAAACAAAATTTTTCTATCAATGCTCACTGTCTTTACCATGGCTTCCCTTAACAAAATTTATATCACAATAAAACCATTAAGAATAATTATAAAGGTAGAGGTCACTATTTAAATATTTACAGAGCAATATAAATTATGCATATTTTAAAAAAACAAAAACTGTTCTCTATTCTGTGACTTAGATGAGTGTGCTAAAGGCTGGATCCCTGAGCAGCACTATTAGGAGGTGCTAAAGATCTTTAGGAGATTAAGCTTAATCAGAGGTCCTTAGATCACTGAGAGTATGCCTTCAAATAAGACTGGAGTTGCGATCTCACTGTTGTCGGTATTCCTGGCTCATGATGTAAACAATATGCAACCCATATGCCTCCCCATCACTGGCATCCTCCTCACTAAAGGCACAAAACAATGGGCCCACCTTATCCTGAATTGGAACCTCTGAAACTGTAAGCTGAATTTTCTCTTAATCAGCAAATGCCTCAGGTATTTTATTCTAGTATCTGAAAGGTTGTAATACAACATGTAAAGCCTGTGCATCACTTCCTGGTAGTACCCTATTTAAAGGTTTATTTTCCACTCTTCAGCATTATTTTTAAAAGATGTTTTCCTTCTTTGGCAATGTAAAAATTTCACTGTACAACATCATTCTCAATAAATGTTTTCCTTTAGCAATATTTAGTTCAAAATAATTAACTATAGCATCATTGATGCCTTAAAATCTAAATCAAGTAAAACAATTTAAAACCACTGTATACTTCTTTTAGATTTTGAAATCCTAAGGTTTAAAAACTTACAGTTTATGCTTTGAAAGATAAAAGGTTATTCCTTTATAATTGTTTGGTCCTAACTAATAGCATTAGCTAATTTACAGTGAGGACCATTTCACTCTCTTAGAATGTTTTTCCATGTGCAAAGATAGAAATTATCAAATTTATGTATTCTCATGCTGAGATTTCCTGATATTATTTTGTTTACATCATTCACAAGGTCAATCATCATCCTCAGAAGTAATTATTAATTTTTTAATATATTTTAGAAGAGTTTTACAAAATGAAGTCAGTGAGCTATCCTTCAATTTCAGTTATTAATTCCCCTCTGTATGTTGCTGTTTCCTATATGTAGCTGCATTAGGCTTTGCTTTTGTATTTGTCAAAACTTGTTCAGGGACAAAAGATACACATACTGCTCTTTATAAGGAACAGGTTGCAGAGGGTAACTTTTGAGGACACTGCATCCTACACACACAGAACACAGGATTAATGCTTGAGTAACATCTCTGTTTCCTTAAGATAAATGTGAAGAGCTGAAGCAAATTGTGCTAGTACCTAACAAGATATGTTTTAAAACAAGATCATAACTATACAGATTATATAAGAAATAACTGGTATTCTAGTACCCACATAGCATGTTTACTACTCAGTATCAAGAACCCTGACAAATGATATGTCTGTGTATCAGAAACTTCATATAAAACACATACTAAAGTACACTACTGGAGCTGAGGGTCCACTGATATTTGTACAAAACTCTGTTAACAAGTATTAACATTTGTGGAGGCTTTAAGAGGGAACATTAAAATATACTTCTAAAAATTTATGCAATTTCTTGGTTACAATAAAAATGAAGCACATTTTCATAATAATTTCTTCTTTTGTGAAATGCTTTAGTAATATCTGCGAAAAGAGCTATTTTATTTTTGTGATATCATTTAGTAGACAAAGATTGAAATATTCTTCCCAGTCTTTGAAAATATAATATTGAACACTGTCTTGCAAAGAGACTGCTCTAAAAATTTATACAGATGTCAAGTACTATTTGACTCTAAAACTAAAAGTCTACAAAAATAAACAATTTCCTTTCAAAGTGATATTGTAACCCCTTGCTTTGATGACTCTTCTCTTTCTTAATGAAGAAAAATGGGAAAAAATTGGAAATTACTCAAAATTGTGTGGCCAAGATAAAAACAAATAAAGAACTTTCTGGAAGAATATAAAATCAAAGCAATTAGACTTGCTAGTGCAAGATCACTGAATCTTTGGTCTTAAAGCCTGAGGGTAGAATTTTGCCTTTAGGCCCAAAACCTAAAATGCATTCCATACCAATAACAGGTTTTCTGCTTAAAATTCAAATTTTCTTTGTTCTCATCAACAGATGACAAGAATCTAAAACAAATATATGTACAGAGTAATCTGCAGATGTAAGCTGGCAGTAAGAATCTGAGTCAACCTAAATGAGTCTAACCTAGTGGAGGCAAATCAGTAAAATCAACAATTGAAAGATAAAGTATATTTGGATGAAAATAATTACAAAATATATCTCAATAGATCAATATGAATATTTAAGATAAATGATAAAAATGATGGAAATTTTTCTATATAAAATTTAAAAATATGCAAGATGACAGAGGAAAGAATACCACACAAGGTTGAGCCCATTTAGTGTAACTTACTGACTTAACAGAACTTTGTCTCAAAAGAGAAATATACAGATACGTATGTATAATTTTAAAGTTCTGAGGATATAACTCAAGGCAAAGATCCTCAGTTTAATCTCAGGACCACAAAAAATAAACCAAAATGCATAAATACATACAAGTAAAGAGACAGAAAGAGTGAAATGAAACAAAAAGGTGATGGGCGATAGTAGCAAAAATCTCCAATCAGAAACATGTTAATTGGAATAAAATCAGGGCCAGGCTAAAGACTACACTGGGTAATGATTAACAACTTAAATATATACTAAAAGTAAAAATTACAATATAGTTAAAACACAACATTAACAAATTATCTTGCTTTACCTCCAAAGAGAAGAGAAATTAATAATCATGAGAGTTACTGGGAGAAACCAGGGATATATTGGGAGATTCACAACTTTACAACAGGACATTTTGGATGGGGAGAAACCAACAACCGAAAACACCTCAAGTGATAAAATTAAAAGTGGGTTCAGAGATTTTATTTAGTCAGTGACACAATAAGATGTCCATCATTTATGGGTTTTCCTTTCCACAGGACTTACATTGTTGTGAACAGACATACGGCTCATTCTGGCCAATGCATTATAAGAAATGATGTGTCAGGTTTGGGCCAAAGCACAGTACAGTATACTTGCATCCCACCTCACAATGATACTATACTTTAAGTCTTGAATATGGCAAATTAATAATCATTTTATGTCAAGATAAATGAACTAGAACTCTTTCAGATAAATCATGGTTTATGGTGACCCAAATAGTATAGCATATGCCAACAGAAGGAATCAAAATGTAACTCCAATATGTTGAGTGTACACATTTATTTACTACAGATTTGTAATGTGTAAATTTCCTAGAGACATTTTATACTGAAAATTATAAAGATATCCTTTGCAATTTATACTCAACACTATTATACTTAATATAATCATACAATTTGAATAATTTAGAAGCATTATTAAATAAGCTATCTAAATGAACAATATATATTAAATTTAACTCTCTGAACCACAGTACTCAAAGTGCATGAATAGTCAAAAGAAATGTGTATGTGTTTATTAGTATAACATATCCTAGTTTCATACACTTGGTTGAAGGACTTCTTTAATTTCACTTTAGTATTTTTATAGATATTGCTTCCTAATTACGGGGGAGATGGAGACGAAGTTAAGCATTACTTTTATTAGCCAACAGGTTTCACTTTGCTGAAATAAACAAAGTCAAACCATTTTAACAACCTATTTTGCTTACTATGGTACATTACTTCAAAATACTAATTGCATGCAGTACAGATTTTAAAAACCTATTTAACATTTAATGTCGACCTATGCTTTTTTAAAAAGGATAATATAAATTCTCTAAAATTTACAGTCTGTCTATCAACCGTTAAAGATCCATATGTTCTACTTTTTAATTATCATCTTAATAACAAGGTACAGGATTAATAACCTTCTGGGGTTAATATTTCCCAGACAGATTCAGATCATCAGCTGTTCTAAACTGGTCATGAATTCTTTGAAAGTGTATTATGTCTTGATCAGTGTTGCTTAACTAGCTTATACGATTTTTATAGTCTTTTTATTTGGTAGGTAACAACCTCCCTATCCACCTTTAAACTTTCATTTTATCAAGGAAATTGATGATGAGAAATAGACCGTATAAAATAGAGAAGTTAAATCAATGTATAAACTTTTTTACCTGTACCCATGAAAAATAAGTAATACTTCAGTTTTCATAATTATCTATTTTTCCGTTATAGTTGATTTTCCCTAAAGCTAGTATTAGATCATTTTTTCCTAAAATGATGTTCATTGTGTTTTTTGTTTGTTTGTTTTGAGCCACAATCTTGCTATTTAGTTTAGGGAGGCCATGAATTCACTTTGTGTCCAAAACTAGTCTCAAACTCATGGCAATCTTTCTGCCTCAATATCCAAAATGTTGGAATTACAGGTGTGCACCACCACACACAGCTTGATTGCATATTTATTTAGCTATCTGATAAAGTCTCATTGAGTATTTGCCATAGGTAGTCATTATGCTGGCAATTTATATAAATATGAAATATTTAATCTATTATTTCAATAATTCATAATTCAGTGATAGATATTTATATGGTACAAAATATAGCCTACGATAGGCATTGAATTTCCAGTGTCCTAAAAAGGTACTTCCTACTTAAACCTTCCATAAATTTTCCAAAAAAGTTGAGAGAGTCTTTTGTGCCTTGAATGACCAAGAAGAGAAAGCATAATATACAAGAAAGCTGAAATAACCAGAGATAAAAAGAGGTCCTTCCAGACTCAAAGTCATGACCCTAGGCCTATAGATAACAGGAAGTCATGGGAAGACACTACTAGCTTTGAAAAGCTGGAATCTGGAGGTGTCAGAAGGTTGTACAATGTCAGAAGACAGAGCAACAAGTTAAATGGTAGGTAAAGAGCAGGGCTTAGTAGAGGTCTGAGCAGCTTCACCTTTTTTTGTTTTTGTCTTTTACCTTTTTATCGGTACCAGGGATTGAACTCACGATTGCCTGCTTGCAAGGCAGGCACTTATGCCACTGAGCTAAATCCCCAGCCCCTCTGCAAAGTTTTTGTTCAATAATTTGTAATGACAATGGCTTTTAGAGTGAGAAGCACTTTAGTATTTCTATTGTACTTATTTCTATAGGGTATTTTTGGACTATATTTCTCTGTAGTTTATATTTCACTAGCTAATAATCAATTAAAGATACATAATAAAGTCATAATTATATATGCATTACAAAGAAATTGAAATGATACACACTACAGAAATACATCGAGTTCTTAAAGGAAAATGATAGCTCTTTTCTAAAATGAAAAACCACTGAAATAATCTAAACACACTAAATACTACTATGCCACTAACCATGCAAATGTACATAATTATTTAGTTTTGAGATATCATTTTGTCTTCAAAGATCAATTAAAACTCAATACTTTTCAACAACACAAATAAATTTCCCCTCCTTTAAGTTGTGGATGATGAGAACTGTATCTAGCAAAGAAAAAGATGACCCATATAGAGATTTGCTAACAGACAGTGGGGTCATTGTTGTGATTATACCTGACTGTCATGATTGTATGCAGATGTCCCATCAAAGTCTCATGAGCTCATAGGTGGGACTTTGAAAAGGGATCGGAACATGAGTGCGTGAGATTCATCAGTGGATTAGTCTGCTAAATTTGACTTGGGAGGTGAACTCTGGTTGGATAAGGGAGGTCACTGAGGGTATGGCCTTACTGGGCCTATTCTACTCTCCTCTTTGATGTATCTCTGTGTCCTGCTACTAAGTAATGAGCTTTTTTTCTCTGCCATGTCTCTTAGACATGCTGCCCTGCCTTGGAGCCACCTGTCTTTGAACTGAAACCTCCACAGACTGAGCTAAAATTGACCTCTCCTTTAATTTATGAGTCTCATATATTGTATCTCAGCAACAAAAAGTAACTAGGACCAATATAGAAAATTGCTACTAGAATGCTTGGCCACTGGTATGATTATATCTGACAATGTGGTTCACAACTCTTTGGTAGTAGTTTGCAGAAAATATTTGGAATGCTTTGGAGATAGAAGCTAAAGAAATCCTCAAACACTTATAAACAACTCTGATTAATTCTGCAGACCGGAAGAATGCTAATAGGACTGCAGAGAGTAAAGGCTGCCCTTCAGATTTTCTAAAGGAGTGCAGATTCTATTGGGGAATGGAGACCAAGCAAGTTACATTCTGACAAAAAACTCATCTACATATTGTGCTTGTCAGGAGACTGAGGAAGACTATGTTTAAACATGGTGAACCAATTGATCTGTTTGGGGAAATTTCAAAGCAGCTGAACATTCAGGCTGCTGGTTTCTTTTAGCCAGATGTACAGTGAACATCGGGAACATAATCCAGAGCAGAAAAGTTTCAATAACTCACATCCTGGCCAGAAAAGAAGTGTGTGTAAGCTGAGGGAAAAGGATATGTGTTTCTTGAAGAGATTATGAAACTGGACAACAAGAAAGATGCCTTGAGGAGATATCATGAGTCGCCAACACCCAACCTGTTGCAGGACTAAAGGTGTCAAAGTATAAACTTTCCATTTGAGACTCTGGGCCCAGCTCAAAAAGGTACCTAAGGAATTGTTTCTCTAGGATTCAGTTCACTGTTCTCATCCATCCAAGTACTCAGAGGCTGTTATAAGCATGTGCCAGAGGCACGCTAGCAGAAAAATTTGGAATGATCTATAACAGTGATGTTGAGTCTTTTAGAGCTTTCAATGATAACAAATAGCTGGCTGCAACAGATAGGTTTGCCACAACTGGTCTATGTGACACTGTATTTTTCCCATACTTTTTGATAATTTCATTCATATTGTTCTGTTGAAAATTAAATCAGTTTAATAATGTAAAAAATATGTCTCACCATGTATACATTAAACACAACTTTTAAAACTTGCTTTCTGGTAATCAAAAGTGAAAAACAACAGAGATGAAAAATATTTTTCACTAAAATGTTATTGTATGTAAAAATAAATGATGACATTACTATTTCAGATGAGTTGATGGAGTGCTTAGAATCAAGTTCTTTCAATACTAAGCATAGTTTTATATGTAATTTTAGGTATAAATTAAACAGTATCCAAAAATTATTATGAAATGAAATATAGTAATTATCAGATTTTATTCAATTTAATTATCCCTAATAACCAATATATGGCTATTTTTAAAAAGCTGCTTATCTTTTTAATTACAGTACCAAAATTTTAAATAAAACCACATAGCTATTAAATTTTAAATGTTATCAAACGTAATTACTGAAGCTCAAAGAAAAGAAAATAGAGTTTTAGTTATAAAATTCCTTTCTATACTGTAAAAAGCCTTTTATTTCTCTGGTTCAGAGCAACTGCTTACTACCAGTTCGAGTTAATAGCCACAGTACTCCAATATGAGATACTCACTGTTGTGTGACATAAAGTGGGGGGTAATCTGCAATGGTCATTAAGGATTTTGAATATTATTCTTAACTACAGATCCTATTGCTATTACTATAATTTATCCTTTATAATGTTCTACAATGGCTAAAACTAAATCAAATAAGTAAAAAATTCAAAAAGAAAAGAATAGACACAAGAGCTAATGTTTAAAACATTTATATTATTTATTTTAAGAACAGAAGAATAATTTAAGGATATATATTCTTCAATTTCTTATTCCATACAATGTTACTGCATACACTGGATCTGTGTATCTCTGTGTTTTGGTTTAATTAGCATTAAAATCATCTCATTTTTAGAAGTCTTAAAGAACTAAAGCTAGTTCTTCAATTTTTTCAGAGTAAGATTTACAATTTACCAGAGTAAGATTTAGTGTTTACAAGAGTAAGATTTGGGATTTACTAGAGTAAGATGTAGGATTAGTTCTTCATAGTAAACACAAAGACAAAGCATTCACCTATATTTAATGGATGTAAAAATGCTTCAGTATTAATTTAGAACACCTATTGTGTTATAAAGAAAAAAATTATTTATGCACATTCTTTTGTTGGTTATCATATTACTTTGCTGGAGTTTGTAAGTATTTTTGAAATATTCAACACAGAATTCTTTTTTTTTTTATTTAAGAGAAAAAAAGGTGGCAGAAAACAAAAACAAAAAGCAAAAGAGAATACAGTGTGAAAATTTAAGGAACAGTAGTTCCTCAATTCCCTGATGTATTTATCACTTATAAAACTAAGCTCCAACCATAATCTTCAGAAATTAGTCTGTTTTACTTCATTCCCAATATCAGCAATGTCATGTGATCTGTATTTTGAGCACCTTTTCAATTTCCAAGAGGGTCATTCATTTCTGAGAGCTTAAATTACTGTATTCAACAAAAGGATACAGTACTTCAGTAATTTTTGCAATATCCAGTAAGGTTTTTTTTTTTTTTTTTTTTTTTTTTACTCTTACTTGTTGGATCTGAGAAATGTAGTATTTAGATCAACTAATATACTAAAATTCTTTCACTGCATAATTTTGCCCATGATCACAGCCTAATTTTTTACCAGATCCTCGCATTCTGGCCAGACAAATGACTCTCAGCATTACTAAAGCTTTCTGTTCATTAAGAATTCTGTAAGAACTGATGTACAGGAGTCACAAATAGTGCACATTAAGAGTGCACATTTCATATTTTCATACCTTTGAGACAGCCATTCTGTTTCCCTGAAAAGGTGGCTCTTTTACAGATGTGTTGCAGAGTTTATAAAAAGGAGGTGACTACTTTTCTCCTCACTCTCAATTTTCTATCACCATGATTAACTCTTCCTCTTAATACTGTTTCACAAAAAATTACAAAAAACTACACGAGGACACTTTCTGTTATATAGTCTGACTGCTATAAACCAAGAATGTTTTAGGCTAGAATATCTCTTATAAGTCTACTAACAGGGCACATGGCACAAAGAAACATAATATACAACTTTGCTAAATTAAGTTCTAGGAAATACTTTTTAAAATGAATTATTTAGTAATTGATGACACAAGAAAATGTTTCAGAAAATTATTATATTCTGTTTTCACTTTTGAAACCTAAAGTTACGCTATTTGCTAAGGATTATTTTCCAAATTTACTAAAAAGAGTGGCTCAACTCCTAATAAAATGGCCAGGGTTGATTTTGTTCACAGGCATGCTCTGAATATCTACCCAAATAACTCCAATGGCAGGAAACCACTGTCCAAATGGCTACTTTAAATGGAGAGGAGAGAGAAAGGTAGAAGAACACAGACTGACCTATGGAAATATGGATTAATTTCCTATGTTTTACGTAGTGCTCTATAGGTCTGTACAAATAGTTTTAGTCTTTACATTAAGACAATATTTCCAACTAAAATACTCCTAGAAAACACATTTTCACAGAAACATCAGATAAAATTTACACTACAAATTCTCTACTATGATTGTATAGTTTTGTCACTCACAAGATATTCATAAATCAACTGAAGTTGTGTCTAAAATAGTTAAAAATGGCCACTTAAATTAGCATGGGTCAATAAACGGGAATTTTAAAACTATATGCTACTTCAAATACATTTAATGAAAAAAATTTAAAGTGTGTCTCAATAATAGTTTAAATACTATAAACTATTGGACTATAACCAATGGACTTTTAAGTTATTTAATCTTTTATATCTAGATTATTTTAACTTTTGCATTTTAGTAGTTTCTTTTGAAGTTCTTTCTTAGTGATTATTTCCTTGCTTGTTTTAGTCTGTAGGGAGCATGAAGGAAAACTCCATTAAATAGTTAATTCTCTTCATTACAAATAATAACTTAAATACTATTTCTCTCTATTACCTTTTATTTAAGGTTAGGATTAGGTTATACTGCCTCATCTACATGTGTTATAAAATTAGTCCATGTTTGCCAGTTTTCAAATATTCCTACTGTTAACAATTTCCCATATATGTTTCTTGGGTATAATCTAAAAGTAATATAGCTCATGTTATCTGCAATACTTCAGTTTAATTATGTATTTAATCTACTTTTTAATGTTTGAATTCATGTGTTAGTTTCCCCTCCATAATTTGATTTCACAGGTCATCAGTCTTTATTCTTACAGAGCAGAATCTTAGAAAAAGTAAAAAATAACTTGCTGTGAAATAACCATCCATAAGTGTTCGAGATTAGGGCATGTCTCTCTAAGGGTTTTTGTTGTACTATTTCCTAGCTCTGTGACCTTGCAAAAATTATTTAACAAATCTGAGTTTATATTTTGCATCTATAAATTAGGATAAGTTACACTTGATATATAGGACTAATGTGAGTAAAATGTTTGAAGCAAAGTCTAGTATGTGATAATTAATAAATTTTGATCACATTTTCCTTTATTTTGTCATTTATTTTCTAATACAGTCTTCTCTTTCCTTTAGTCCTCCTTTTCCTTCTGGTAATATTAACATGCAGTGCCCAAACTGTGTATTTTACACTACCATTAAAATTATCAATGGGAAAAATCTAAATTAGTCAAATATAACACAAAAGTGAAAAGTACACCCACATGAGTCAGAATTATCTTAGCACGAGAATTTATTATTCACTACTTAGCTATTGTTAGTATAAAACACGAAATATCTGTTGGTATTTTACGTTATTTTTTTTTAATAACTGGGATTCTCCACTGGAGAAACAGAAGTAAGGCATACTTCAAAGGACCATTGCTAAAGATAAAATGTGAAATGATAGGGACTGTGTCTTTCAAACAGAAAACTGTAGCAAAAGCGACACTTCCTCAAACAATTCTGCCCTATCTCTCCATAACACATTAAAAGTAGTTTAGGAAAAAAATCAAAACCAGACTGACAGCAGCAATCTCACCTGTGGCTGTAAGTGTATGCCTCTCCTGGCTACCAGTTTTCTATGAAATAAAGCTTAATCAACATGCACATAATTAGCAGAGAAGATCAAAAGCTTTTTCCCCCACAAATGATTTTTATCTATGATACTATGAAGCCAGTGGTAAAATTTTATCTATTTTTAGTAAACAAAAAATAGGAGCTCTGAACTATCTACTTATTGGATAAGAACCTAGAAATTGTTTTGTTTACTGAGAATATATATAAATACATATTTTTTTCAAGTTATATAGATATTGAAAGAGTATACAACATAAAAGATTCATTAACTTCATAATGACAAACACTACATATTGGTGGTTACTAATTTTCATAAAAAAGGAAAAAATCACATCTTACATTAAAAGGTTATTTTTCAGAGATAGTTTAATGAACTATCTACTAGAAAAAAGAAAATAAAAAATAATAAAATCATAGAATATAAAATAAATCTAAAGCAATTAAGTGTTAAAGAGAGGAAGATTCAACTCTTCATAGGATTTTTAAAAATGCACATTTAATGAATAACTTTTGATTAAAATATTAAATTCAAACAACAGTTTAGTAAAATGATTAAAAAGTTAAAATCATATCTAATTTCCAGATTTAAATTTGGAGATATACTACAAGAAACAAGGTAAATAATATAAACAAAGAATATGATATGAAAATACAATTTCCAAGAGAAAAGGTTAAAAGAGATGTAGCAGAAAACATCTGTTTTTATCACTGAATATTTTTAAATAGAAAAAAAAAACCTAAAAATCTTCAAAAGAGCTCTTTCATTTTAGGTTGATATAAAAAAGTATTATTAAAAGCTGCAGAAAAGATAAAACATAAAAATTCAAGTACTATCATAGTTAAATGTTACTTTCTGGAAAACAGTATTACAAAAATTATACATTTTTGTAAGCTTTGAAAAGCAACTATTTCCAGTTAACAAAAACCTAACCATAAAGTATCTTTCTGCCAAATTAAAATACTATTTTAGTAGAGTCCTAGTGTATTAAAATCCAAATTGTTAATATTTTTACAATCTGCTTATAAAACTTAGTTTTATTTTTCCAAATTCATAATTACTGTGTGTAACATTTATAAAGAAAAGTGTCCTGATATTACATATCAAAATTTATTTCTGAGGAAAATTTGTATAAGCAGAATTCTAACATTACTATGTGTAAAACACAACAGTTACTATAATATAGAAGAAAACAGAATGTTTACATGTAAGTCCCATCAACTTGTCATTTATAGTTTAATCTTTTTCACATGATTTTAAACTTTATACCAAAAAGGATATAAAAGAGTACCAAAAATCTGTTATTTCATTTATCCCAAGTCCTAAAACCTAATGAGGATGAGAATTTTCACGTACTTAAAATCACCCCATTTAATGGATATGTCTTCCATCCTAGTTTACCCAGCACAGTAGTTGTATCAAGCAACACAACTGAAAGTGAACAGATAAAGCTTGCATGAATTTCTCAACTAAAAAATACATTAAATTATTTGAATAATTAATGTATTATAATACTTATTATTTAAATCATCAATAATCATTAATATCTTATTCATCACATTCACAAGTTATAGTATTTAAAATTTTTTCCATATGTATGAAATATGTGTACATAATGACAGCATTGCGTCATGATAAAATGCATGGTGATAATTTCAAATGCATTTAGGTTTAACAATGCTGAGTAAAATAGCTAAATGATACAATTTAAAGAATCATTTTTACTAACAGATTCTTAAAACTAATATTAACTTTAAACTGAGGAAATATTCAACTTTGCTTATTTTCCTATTTTAATAGTCTTTTCCGTCAACATTAATAAAAAAAAACACTTAAAAGGTTTCTTTCTAATATTATTAAATGTGCATTAATAAACAGGAAGTATGAAAACACTTATGAAAAGAACACTATGCTCAAGAGCAGATGCCATTACTGCAAATAATAGGTAATATACTGTTTGCTAAAAGATGGAAAAGCAAAATTAAAGCTATACCCCTTTCTTTCACTAACCTAGAGTAACCATCATCTGGTCCAAAAATATCAACTAAACAAATAACAAGAATAAACTATATTAAATGATAAAATGGACAATTATAAAATACACTGGCGATTAAGCCAAGGTTGAAATGCAAATCTGGAAGAATTCACAAAGAAGATTAAACCTGAGCTAGGCGAGAACAAGATGGTCTTCAATCAGATGTGATGACAGACAGACAGATAGACGATTTTTAAAAATTCCTCTGGAGTCTGAAATAGGAGTGGGGATTATACTGGCAAAGTAGGAGGACAGAAACAAATCTAGAAAGACAGAGATGAGCCAGGAGTATTTTTGCTATGTTTACAGTAGAAAAATATGTAACTATCAAAATTTAGCAGCTCTATACTTTTTCCAGCGCTGGATCACAGGCACAAGGTAGGGCAGGCAACGGGCTACACCCTGAGGAGACAATGCTTATGTAGCTCATTATTGGGTTCGGTTCACCTTGCAATGAGGAAGGATTCTTTAAGTGCAGTTTTGAAAAATGCCATTGTTAGTTCATTATTTACCACCTGTTTTTTTGTCTACAAGAATTTTGTAGTTCTACTTAATTGAGCCACTGTAATGTATTTCAGGGACATGTTATAAAAGATGCACCTAGTATTAAATTTCTGTGGTAAACGCTGTATACTCATTACTGAATATTCAAACTGGTAAAACTCAACTATATTTTTTCAATTAAATTTTATGTAGAAAATTCTCAAATGTTTTAGGAGAAAATAGTTTTTAAAATCACAACTCATTATCATTTTATTAAACACCAATTTATGTTCTATTTATTTCATCCATAGCTACTCTCCCAGTGCAAGACTTTTTGAAGCAAATTTCAGTAGTCAAATCATTTACTCTGTGAAACTGTCACCATGTGTGTATTTCTAAAATAAAGATTTATGCTAGAATTACTTTTAGTACATTAACACAGATAGCAATTACTTAATGTCATCAAATACTTTTAATGTTTTATTAATTCCCCAGAAACCAAAATCAAAATACTGCTCTACATTACAATGAGATTGCTTTTAAAAATTTCTTATTATATTTTTCAGGTAGACTGAAGTGTGTTCAGTATGTTAAAGGTATATTTCTATGTACTGTGACAAAATCTCCACATCTTTGTAAGCTATGGCTATGATCAAGCTATAAAATACTCTCAATCTCCCTTAAATGTTCCTTGTGGCCCTCTACAGTGATCCATTTTCCTTCCCATCATCAGACAATGACTAATCTAAATTCTGCCCTCGAGCTGACTTTTCCTAAATATCAAATGCAGAAACAATTTACCATGTATTCTTTTGAATTTGGTTTCTTTCAGGTATAATGCATCTGAGAACCATTTTTACTGCTTCAGAAGCACTAATAATTACTTTTTTTGGTCTTTTTCCTTTTTATCGGTATTGGGGATTGAACTCACGACTGCCTGCTTGCAAGGCAGGTGCTTATGCCGCTGAGCTAAATCCCCAGCCCGTAATAATTACATTTTATTGCTGAAATTATTTTAGTGTACGGGATTTGCTAGTTGATAAACATGTGAGTCACTTAATATATGTGTTTAAATTTAAAATAACTTTACAGTAAATGATGTGCTGCCTTTATTCACCCTCAAAAATATTTCCTCTTCATTCTTACCAGTTTCAAAAGTCCTCTTTTGTGAGTATCACAGTTGTGCTATCATGGTTGGCCGGATGTCCTGAGTCAATTTAAAATGGTTATCTTCCATGGCCATTTTGTCTTTGATGGTAAGTCAGATTTTGCACTGGACCAGGTCTGATGAATAAAGTGGTTATGAACACAAGGTAGTGTTTTCATGAATCTGACTCCCACAGATGGCACCTGGCAGCAGCATTTACTCTACGGTCAGTCACTCCTCCAAAGACACTCATGAAAGAGGACTTGCTGGACTATTTCAGAAAATGGCAAGAATGATAGAATACGTCTGTTCAAAATGGGGGAGAGGAAAAATGTGTAAATGTTGTAAAAAAGAGAGGTAAAAAAGTGCTCTAAAGGATACAACTGCAAGTGCGTTTAGGGGTGTTAAGATAGATGACCATATTACTAAGTTTTTGTTGGATCACTGAACACAACTGTTTACAGTCTCACTGTTTGAATGTCCACCTTGTATGGTTTAATCCTGTAACTTGAACAACTATTTCTAAGATGGCAATATGTTATCTATTAACTAGTGATTTTTTATTGTTTTTTGATTCTGTATTACTTTTACCCTTATACTGTTCTGTTTATTTTTTCTCCTTTAAATAAAATTTTTAAAAAATGGGGGAGAGGGTATTTTAAGGGACATCAATGGTGATGGGTCTTTCACTGTAATTTCTTTAAATTTAAACACTCACATATTTTTTTTTCAAGTACCACTTGCATATAAAGTCATAGTAAACTTTCCCTTGTAGGTTTTTATATGAACTTAAGGCTCTTATTACTCCAGGGGAAATAATTAGGAGTATGATTCCTGGATTATATGCAAAATACTTATTTCTAGAACTATCTTTCAAAATGAATTCCCAAATGGTATGAAATGTTATTTTCCCAACAGCAGTTTCTCCACATATCAGGCTGATTGTCTAGTATTTTAAACTCCTTCTAACAGACATGCCACACAGTATCTCATTATTTTAAAATTAATTTTCCTTAAAGAAAAACAATAAATCATCACTTTTAACATTTAAAAAGTTTATTTTCTATGAAAGAGAAAAAACTAGAACGTTTTGTATTACATGAGATACCATTAAACATTCTTTATCATTTACTTTATTTCCTTTAAATTAGTAGGTAAGAAGCTGGATCAAATTCCTGTTCAACCTACTGTTATTTTTATATTTAGTTAGCCAAATTCTCTGGTGGTCTTTTATAGGCCTAATATCAGCAAAATAGCAAAGAGGTATCAATGTCTGCTAGGGACAAAACAAAAGCAGATGGGAATGAATTTTCAAAGGGCTACACTAACAAATAAGTTGATCTTAGATGAAGGTAGTGACTGAAATCTTAAACTTTAAAATATACTTAAATTCACACATGCAAATGTTAGTAGATATCTCATGGTATCTTTTGCAGAATGTTAGAAAAACATTACTTTTAAAACTGGTAAAGAAAATGAGAAGAACAAAACATGCATTTTGCTTTCTCTGTACAAACTATTTCTGCTTAACAAAATAGTTAATGAAGGACATTTCTCTTATAGAAATACTCTAGTTAATAAATGAAGAAGAATGAATGAATGTAGTACACCATTTGCTACTCCTAATGAATTAATATATCTTGCTAATGGTTTTCCAAGGCTGTTAAAATCACAGAAAGAAATAAAAGGAGAAATCAAAGGCTATAGTTTTTAAAAAGTTTATCTTTATAGTTCAATTTACTCCATCTGAACATAAAATTAAATACATTAGATGTAACAAAAATAAAGTTCAGGAAAGGTAGGATATAAGCAACATACACACACACACACACACACACACACACACACACACACATACACAATCTGGGTTCATTCAGTGCAACATAAATAATTCCACAAATTAGAGAAAAACCTGAGTACATCATTATAACAACTATGAAAAAAAGCTCTATTTTGTTATTGAATAGAAATTCTTTTTAAGCTGTGGGATAAAGTATTTTAAATAATGCAGAAGTCTGTAATATCAGTATGTACTTTGTTACTCTAAAATGGAACTTTAATTATGAGTGCATTTTTACTTCCCCAGTGCATGAAATACTTCCCCAGTTCCCTAACCAGCAGTAAAAGTGACAATACTGATTCTCAATCATTGTACAATGAATGTCTATGTACATTCTTCTTTAATCCCCAAAATGCTCCATCATTGTTTCCATTTCAAACAAATCGTTATGAAACCTGTATATCAAAGATACATATGCTTGCCTGTGCTCATTTTAACACTATTCACAATCGTCAAGAAATGGAAGCATTTGATAAACTGGATAAAATGATGCAATATGCATACACAAATACTGCTCAGCCCCAGGAAATAATGAAGTCCCGTGTGGTAACAGGGTAGAATGAAAAATGCCAGGTAGAGAAGCATGAGTGTCTCATAAACTCACTCATATACAGAATCTCAAAACCCAATCTAGAGAAGTTGAGAGTAAAACAGTGGCTACCAGAGGCCACAGAAGTATGCGGAGAAGAAATGAGAAAAGGCGGATTAAAAACAGGAACTAAATTATACTCAGACACGAGAAAGAAGTCTTGATGCACTACTGCAGATGAACTACTAAATGTCAACAATGTTCTGTACATTTTAAAAGGCTACAAGAAAGGTTTTCAATGCTTTCATTATAGAATAAAAATTTTAATGAGACAAATTTGTTAATCTGACTTAAAGATTGAATAATGTATTAAAATATTATACGCTAGCAACTGGATAGGAACAACTGTTATATTTTTCTGTATCACTTAAAATACACTTAAAATGAATACTTAAATTGAAAAACACCCTTATTTTATCATCCTACTTTATCTGGTTTTTATAAAGAACAATGATTTTTCTCTATTTTAGTAAGAATCTAAATTTCCTTTAATGTGGTTGTTGTCTATACATTCATTCCATATTTATAATCATTGAAAAACTTTATTTAGTTTAAAAAGAGCTTTATTAAGGTATGGTTGATATACAAGACACTGTACATAATGTATAAAATTTGAAGAGTTTGGACACACATGTGCATTCATTAAACCACTGCCACATCTAAAATAATAAACATATCTACCTCCTCCAAATGTTTCCTCATCTTCATTTTTTGTTTGTTTTCAGGTCCTTTTTGTTGTTTAGAAAAACATTTCATATAAGTGATACCCACAATAAATTTTTAAATTACATATACTGTATTGCTAATGTAGGAAAATAGCAAAGAGATATCAATGTCTACTGGGGAAACATATTTCTTGAATTTATTTACTTCCCATATTTGAAACTTTGTATCATAAACAGTATCTCCTCATTTTCTCCTTCCTCCCTCAGGCCCTGCCAACCACGATTTTGCTCTCAGATTCTAAGTCTATTCAAGACACTTTATCTAAATAAATTCTTGCTGTATGTGTTCTTTCCTGACTAGCTTACTTAATTTAGCATAATATTCTCCAAGTCCACCCATATTGTCAATGGAACAGAATTTTATTCTTTTAAAGGCAGGATAAGATTCCATTGTTTGCCTACCAAAGTTTATTTATCCATTTAATTTGATGACATCTGTTTTCCTATCATTTTTATTGTGAATAACGCTGCAAAGAACATGAAGTATAAATATCTCAGATCCTGATTTAACTTCTTCTGAGTATATATCCTGAAATGTAATAACCAGATCATACATGGTGGTTCTATATATTTTGGAGCCACTCAGTGCTGTTTTATGTAATAGCTGTGCTAATTAATACTGTGTTAAAAAGTTAAAAAGGCTTGTTCTTTCTCCTTCATATTGCTGCCAACACTTGGTAACTCTTAAATTTTTGACAATAGCTGTCCTAACAGGGTCATCTGATATTTCATTGTTTTTGATTTGCATATCTCTGGAGACTTAATGCTGAGGATCTTTACAATTAGCCACTTGCATGTTTCTATGCAAAGATGTTCATTTAAGACCTGCACCCATTATTTAATCATGCTATTTATTTTTCCACTTCTGAGTCTGTGTCTGTCTGTCTGTCTGTCTGTCTCTATCCTCATTTCTCAAATTATAGATGGGAAAATTCAGGCTCAGAGGTGTTATATAGTTTTCCTTGACATCACAAAGTGATATGTTTGGATTTCAAGAAATATCACTACTTTTAACTTTCACACACCAAACTTTTTTAAAGTGTTGTTTTAAAAAAATGTTGCTCTTACTTTAAGATCAAATATAAAAACTTATTTACTGTCTTTATTTTTACTTCTATAGATGAAGAGAAACATGTCTATATCTTTTTAAGATTTTGTCTTTGTAAGTCTGAATTTAAATTTCTCATCAAAGCTTCATATAGACTATTCAAAGTTATTACCAACAAATGGTATTAAAATAAGGGAACCACTGGAAACAGTATTTGGAATCCTTGACTATGTACTGATATCAATTTCCTTTTCATTAGCTGTACATAGAAATTAATACAAACTATTTAATCAATTATTTTATATAACACTGTTCTTTCTAATGTATGAGTTATTTTATTTATTATTCAGTTATAAACTGTGAACTGTATGCATTTTAAAACAAAAAAAGAAAATGTGTATGTACTTAGAAAAAATACAGATGCTTAGGAAGAGAGTTTTTGGGATTTGTGTGTGTACGTGTGTGTCAATGTTTTCCTTAGTAGCACCAGAAATAAGACTCATCTTAGTGCTTTGTTTTCTTAAATAGCAAGGACCTTTAAAAATCCCTAAGCATAAAATTTCAAATTTGCATCAGACAAGTGAATAGTACTTTGACATTAAACTAAAACTGAGTGTCCTAAGATCTGTGAATACCACTGTATATGGTATTTTAATTTTATCACTTGTGTTACACAAAAAATCACCACAAACTCAAGTTTACCAGATACACTAATTATGTGAAACCCAGCAAGATGAGAGCTCCTCCTGCTGGTTTTAAACAAAAGTTATCTAGTCCCCACCAGATGCAAAATTACTTAAAGCCCAGCAGGAGAAGCAAGTTACATTACTAACTTCAATGAAAAATCCAATCCTTTTCATCTTAAATTTAGCAGCAATGTTTTAAAAAGTAATATTAACATAATTTTAAAAAGTACAACTGAAACTATAACTACTTATTCATATAAGAAATTTAACCAAAATAAAACGTTGATATCAAAACAAAAATTTGAAAATACATATTTTTACCTAATAGGCTACATAATGCACAGAGTGCTTAGAAAACTGCACAAAATTTTCCTATGTAAAAAAATTTCCCTTGTAAAAAAGTTTCAACATACTTTTCCTGAAAATATCTTTCAATTTATTATTGTTTTCTTTATTCTTTGAAGGATGATAAGAGAATTTCACTGTTTTAAAAGCCTTTTAAGTAGAGATCTTTGATAACACTGTATTATAGATGAAACAATGGCTACCTAAGTTTAAAGAGGACAGTATCATTTTTGTCTTTGAACAATTTATCAAGCCTTTATCCTTTTATTAAACTTAAGGGATAATAGTTTTAAAATAGGGCAGTGATTTATGGTACACAACAGACCGGCTTTATTCAAATGGAACAAAAGAGAATGAGATTTCACTTGTGAAATATTTTGAAAACTTAGATGAGGAAGTAAATTAACCCATCAAGAAAGTATTAAGATTAATTTTGTTTTAAAAATCAAATTACTGGTACATGAACCAAGTCCTAAAATTTCCCCATATTCTTAAAAAGTTCAGGAAATCATAACATAATATTTGGGGAATTTTCTTGAACAGATTTTTTCCAGAGAGTAATTCAATTTAGAGCCTCTAAACCCCAGCAGGGTTTATAATCTATTGGGTAACAACAAGCACTAAGTTTTTAAACAGTAAGTTGGCTAACAGGTAAGTTTAGAGGCTTCTTAAAGTCTACTTTTCAGTGACCATAATACACCCTACCACTTATCATAGCCTAACAAACAAATAAAGGGAACATACTTGGGTATCAAGACAAGATAAAATCAAAGAAAACATGATAGAGATATTAACAAATGCATTAATAATAATATACATTGAGCTGTAAACAGTCTGAGTTTATGTAGTTAATGTGCTTTAAACTTTCAATACCTCAAATTCACTGATTTGCTTTTGACAAAATTGTGTATTTTTGAATGGCCAAAATATAAAGAACACTTCGAGATCAGTATATTGTGTATAAGTATCTGTCCTCATACTGATTTAGAATCAATGTTTAGTTGCATAAAAGTGCAGATTGTTTTAACCATGTATTATTTAACCCTAGTATGTCTCTGTGCACTTTTTTAGAATAGCATCTTCCAAAAAGGATCACACCTCCTTAAAAATAATGAAAACAGATTTATCTGATATAAGATCAAGATTTATTTATTGACTGCACTGATAGCATTTTGTCTTGTACCTATTCCTAATTCTGTTGCTTCCTTGTTTTTAATACTTATGATGAGAATGATAAAGAATGGGAACTAAACTTTAAATTTGAGAGTCTGAAAATATTATTTTGGAAGACAAGTTACTAGAACATAGGCTAAAGAACTTTCTTCAATTAGAAAAAAATCAAGTCTAGAAATTCTAATCTCATACCCTCCAGCTCTCTATAACTCCCTAGAAAATAGTATCTTCTTGATAGTATATGTTTCTGTCTTTTCAACAAAATAAACCATTCCATTTTAATGTTGATGAAAAATAAACTTAAAAGGTCAGAATTGTTTTTGCTAGTAACAACAACAACAACAAAAGCCAAACAACCAAGCTGCAGAATAATCTAATTGAACTTACATTTAGGACAAATTACAAAGACCAGTACCTAGAAGACAAATCTACAGAACAAGAATTGAAAAACCTTATCAAAACGATGAACAGTGAATGTTTATTTAAAAAATGTATCTGGTAATATTCACTCTCACTGCACCTTTATATTTCTATCCAAGCACCTCTGTGTGGTTATCTTGCACGAAACTTTTACCTGATTGCCCTTTATAGTCCTTCCTATAACCTGTCATTGCCAGAAATCAAAGGATAACCCAGGTGTCGATCTGACTTACTGAGGGTAATGCAGCTACCTGTTCACATCTGGGTTTCTAAGACTTAACAGTGAGTCACCTGAGAAGTTGTGACTTTCCATAAAACTACTGAGTTATTGGCTAGAAAATAACAAAACAAGGGAGAGTCTGGCCTACTCAATTAAAAGCAATGTATTATTCTTCCTCTTTGATAGCTTCAGCACTCTGACTATAATTAGGTTAGTTAGGTTTTGCTAAGAACTGAATTATTTGCATTGTTTCAGTTATACAGTTTACATAAGTAGAAAAGATTATTTGCTTTACTCTTAAATTCATCACTCTTATATTTAATAAATGTCATGAGATCTTCATATCTCATGCAGAGGTGCTTTATTCAGCCCAGATCATTGAACCTGCTCCCCATTGCTTCCACAGCATCAAAGATGCCCCTTTCCTTTCTATTTCTAGTTCTATCCTCTCTTACATCTCCCTCTCTCTATGTCCTTCATGGGCTTTGAACACTTTCCCTTTTAAAAATAGTACCATGAAGCGTAAAGCCTAAAATACTATTAAATCATAGTTTTCACATCTCTGATTAAAATATTATAACTACATAATTAAAGGTCTTACATATAATGGGCATCCTCATTCAAAACAATTTCCATATAATGAAAGAAACATAAAAGCTATGGAAACCTCGAAAAAGAAACACAGTGGCTTTATATTAGAAGGAAAGAATAGGGGCTGGGGATTTAGCTCAACGGCATAAGCACTTGCCTTGCAAGCAGGCAGTCATGAGTTCGGTCCCCGGTACCAATAAAAATGAAAAAGGAAAAAAAAGTAGGAAAGAATATACTAGAATTTAGGAAAGAATTCAATGAATAAATGTCTGTTTTTCCCCTTGAATATGGAAGGAAATTTCTACCCCTGAGTTACTTTTTTCTTGGTTACTCTTACATGTACTTATTGGCAATAAATTCCAACTGCCCTTAGTGGGTACATGGAGGACAAGAAATGTTACTTGCATGTATCTAATATATTTTGATATGACTAAATTGAAGGCTCTGTAGTAGCCAATGGTGGACAAAAAAAGCTTGTAAGACACTATGTCTACCTTCAAACAGTACTGGTGGTCATTTTATCTAATTTCCACTAGAAGGATATTGTGTCAATTCCATAGCATAGTTTAATCAAATATAGAAATAAAAAGATGGATTCAAATGTATATATATTTGGAAGTGCAGGCAAGGAAAGCCTGAAGCTATTTTGTAGATTGTGTAGAATTATGCTATCCTAAAAGGGCAGACATCCACCATCACATCAACACCCCTATCGAGTGTCAATAATTAGATCACTTATTTTAGTCTCCATATAAGTGCTAAGAAGTGAACAAATAGCAGAAATCCATTCCAGAGTTGATAGGATAGGACATAATTCTCCACCTGTAAAATAGGTTCCCAAATACTCCCAAGTAGAAAAAAAAATTACTGGATTTGTCTAGAGACAGTGCTTAAACAGAGTAGACTACATATTATCAGAAGTTAGCACTGCTAAAACTACATTTACTCATTTAAAATTATTCCTGTCCACATAGTTTGAGCTCCTCAACAGCAGGTGTGTGTGTGTGTGTGTGTGTGTGTGTGTGTGTGTGTGTGTGTTGAATAATGTGAATAAATGAATGAATTTAAAGCAGTCAATGGAAATGAGCAAGGACAGGAATCTCATATCTTGCGGAAAAAATTCTTCACAAAATATTGAAAAAGCATTGGAGGGAAGCAGGAAAACAGGTACTTGAAATGTCAATGGACATCACACTTGGTTTGTAATGAAGATTGTCGAGCTATTTACAAATGATCTGAGTTATAGGTAACAGGCAAAGTAGCCTGTAAGTAAAATCAAATCAAAATAGACATTTGTTTTTGTGTAAAGAATGCTCTGTGAAAAGGCACCCATCTTCTTTACTGTTTGGAGTCCTTTTTTATGCTCCAACATGCTCCCAACCCCTTTAGCATGCAGTGCCCTCGGGCTGTATTTTCTCAGTCCAAATCCTGTGCATCTAATTATTGTCCCACTTACTGGCTGCCCCATTTAAACACCTATCATATGAGGAAAATAACTCAAATACTACATAGATATGTTTATTATTACTAATTTCTCCTTTTCTCTGCTTCATTTATTCATGCATTTATTCAACCAAGTAAAATATAAATTGATAATGGTATCTTGTGTTACAGCAACTTAGAACTGTTACATGCTATTCCTAAAATTCCAATAGGTAAGCAACCTTTCATAGAAATATACTGAGTGGTAATTACTAAAGCTGCAACTGTACCATGTCTCAAGAAACTATTCACTGTTTAGATTATTTCTTCTATCTGAATCTGGGTTCTATACTTGATTCCAATAATTTGTTTTTTATAACCCTCATCAAGAATAATTCTTATTCCAATAACTAAGAAGTCACTGTGGCCTAAAGTGAATAATCAAGTTTTAGTGTCTGGCCTTCCCTACTCATCAACAGGATGTCATCTTGTTAGCTGCTTTACTTTGATAAAACAACCACGTATGAAAATAAGACTAATAACCAAAAGTTTGCATACAGCCAAATATGGTGCCACATACTTATTTTCCCAGCTATCTGGGATGCAGAAGATCCTTAGATCACAAATATAAGACCAGCAAGGGAAATTTAGTAAGACTTGATATCAAAATTTTTAAAAAGAAGTTAAGTTCAGTGGCAGAGAATACACAGCATCCTGGATTCAACCATCAGTACCCTAACAAAAAGAAGTTTGTGTCATGGGACATAATTAATGCATTGGTTGTCTTTTCCTTTTATTTTCTCTTGTTAATTTATCCACTCAAGGAATCTTCGATAAATATCTAAATTCAAGGCATTTTCTTAGATTCTCCCATTCCCTGTCTGCCACTGATTCCAATAACCTGCCTCCACTGGTCCCTAAAATTGGGGGTAGGGTGGTGGAACTGCCATTAGTGAAGACTGTTCTCTAAAGCAACTACCTAAACTCTGAATAGTCAGATTTAACCGTTCATGACCAGGAAATGAAACCTGATAACCTATTCATACATTATCATACATTCTCTGGTGATGCTATAAAAATAATTTAAATAAAAAGGTAATTTTCTAACACTTTGACCATAATTTCATGATCACCAACTTCCTAAAGGATGTGGGTTGTCCTCTGAATAGCTAAATTCACCTTTACTGAGTAACTTGGTGCATAAAATTGCCTATGGAACAGAACAGTCTATAGTGAGATAAATGCGCAAGAAAAAAGTAAAGACAAAGATAATCAGTTGTCATTTATATATTAAACAGCTTTTAGCACAATTACATGATAAATAACATCATCAGAACTATGTAGAACAACTTCCTGTTGGATACTATTGAGGAAATGTCGGAGCAAACACAAAGTCAAATTGAGAGGCACATGAACCGCAAGACAGCTTATCTTTGTTGGCATAATCCTGAACTGCAAGGATTCAGGAGGAGGAATGGTTCATAAATGAAACATTTACAAATGTGACCCATGCCAAAAACTATGCTAGTTCAGTATACAGAAAAAAATGACAGATAGAATCTTTATTGTTGGCATAAAAATGAAATAAAAATGTACATTTTTATCATCATTATCCTGTAGGGAAAGCAAGTCATTAAGTACTATTGTGAAATTGTTTACTAACAACATCTTGTAATACAAAATGAATTCAACAGAAATGATAATGACATTTTAACACTTAGGCAAATGGAGAATATTTTATTCACCATGAGTTTCTCAAGTATAATTAAGCATAAGGAAGCAGATGCAGGCTTTCATAAGATATTGATCAGTTTTCTTATTGCTGATTATATAGGACATGAATTATGGGAAGAAATGTATAATGCTGAGAAGCCTTTAAGTCATCAAAATCCAAACTGTTTCCCCAGCTGTCACGCCAAGTTCAGATACTATCCCTCCACTGAGGAATGTCATACTTCAGAACACTTATCCGTTAATCAGGCATAGAGAAGACCAGTCCATACATGTGAAGGTCAATTTAGTCACTGATGATGTGTCTCCCCAGGGAACCTTCTTTTCAGCAGGTAAGTCCAGTGGAGAGAGCAAATTAGAGATCAAGGATTTCTCGCCGAGTATTACATTACTGGAAAAGAGTGACCTTGTTTGCTTTATAAAAGTGCTCTTGATCTCATTTTATTTGAGAATTTTATCTACTCATTTTAAAGCTTTCACATTTGAATAATGCTGAAGTAACATCAAAAATTATTTCTAATTAAAGGATCATTTTTCAAATGAACACACTGTCAAATCGTAAATTCAGCATTTTGTACACTGGTTATAGGACATGTTACAGTGTCTCATGTTATAGCCTTATATCAGCTAAATTTCGAATTTTGGAAAAAAAATTGTTTCATGTTAAAATTTACTTCAACTATAAAATATATGTATTTTTTCTCCCCAAGGACTGTCACATTGTATGGCTGATTCTATACAGTGTCGAACAAGGACAGAGAATGACATTCACAAATCTTCTGGATGATTTCAGGAAGAATATAAATCTTTAGGAACAAAATTCACAATTAGCAGGCCAGATAGTTTCTGACTTTGTCTGCCATTTTGAATGGTAAACACACTGCACTCCTTATTTTTATTGACTAATAGTTTTAAAACTTAAAATCATTGATATTCCAAGTAATCTATCTTAAGTTTTCTTCTAACCAATCAATATTTAAAACCCAAAAACTATCATATTTTAAAGAATATTCATTATATATTTTTAGAAATCTACTTTTTACTTTACTGTCAACTTCCAAAACAGTATCTCTCCCTCATTCCACTCTCTTATACTTTAGGCACAGTTCACAACCCCTGCAGAATTAACACATCCACGTCTGAACTCACTATTCTCCTGTCAGTGTGCATCATCTCCTGATCTCCTGATTCAGTTACTTGCACACAGTATCTGCTTGAGTACTGCAATGATGAACTAGTATCCCATATGTGTTACTTTATTTTGTGCTACTAAATAAGAACACCAGAGGCTGGGAAGCTTTAAAAAGTGGAAAATTGGGGCTGGGAATTTAGCTCAGTGGCATAAGTGCCTGCTGTGCAAGCAGGCAGTAGTGAGTTTGATCCCCTGTAACGATAAAAGGAAAAAGACAAAAAAAAGTGGAAAATTATTTTGCACAATTCTGAAGGGTAGAAAATTCACAGTCAAATCATTATAATCTGGATAGGGTTTCCCTACTTTCTCATGTGATGGAAGGCGAACAAAACAGAAACAATATCCTCAGTTAGATCATTTGTAAGGAAACCTTAACTGATTTATATGGGATGAGCTTCAAGGCCTAATCAACTCTTCAAAGCACAACCTCTTTAGAGTACAATGTTGAGAAAGCTTAAATTTTGAAGAGAACATATTCAAACAATAGTGACACCCTTGCTGCATGTATCCTTCACTGTACACAATGAATCTAAGTTTTTTAGACTGGATGTTGTAGGGAGAACAAGGCCACACTCCAAAGCTGCTCACGTCCTAATCCAAGAGACCTGTGAATACTTGATTACAGTACAGGGAAACTAAAGCTGTGTATGAAATAAGGTTGCAAATTAGCTAACCATCAAATAGCGAGATTATTCCTTATCACATGGAGGGGCACATGGTATAATAAATACAAGAGACAGAAAGTCAGAAGATGTTACTTCAGGAGAAAGACATAGAGAGATGCATTTCAAGGCCTAGACTTGCCATTTTTTCCGCTCCTCTCCTCCCTCCCCTCACCTCTCCTCCTCTCTCTTCTCTTCTTTCTATTCTTTTTTTTTTCTTTTCAAGCCTACACACTCTTAGCCTTGAACATAGAGTAAGGCAGTCAAGCCAACAAGAGTGGGCAGGCTCCAGAAAGTAGAAAGTACAAGAATAACCCTTCACGTGTCTTTTGTGAACTTGTCTACCCATCCCCTCTCTTACTGAACTAGACATCCTTTGATCTCATCAACCCATTAAATTCAATGTATCACTCTTTTTAATTTTTTAAAGAAAATGGAACAAAACAAAACAGAATAAAGCAGAGCAGAACAAAACAATGCAAACAACACAGGATTTCAAAACAAGACAATAAGAAATCAGCAGCAGCTATCATAATGCCTCTTGTTTTCTTCAAAATAGCAGTCCATATCTTCACACACAAATGAACTCAAAAATGACAAAAAAGTATAAAATCGTTCAAAACAAAATAATGAAAGCATTACAGGTCTTCAAAATAAGACAATAGGAAAATCAACAATGGTTACCTTAATCATACACATTCTTAAATGCTAGCAAATCCTTAAATTCACTTTGCCCTTTAACCTTTCCATAAAGTCCCTCATAATACTCCCTTCTACCTAAAATACTCCTGCCTCACCAACCCTCCAAGCAATATCTGAGTCACTATTTATGTCATAATCTAAATGTAATTTTTTGAGACAATATTTTGTTATGAACTCACTATAGAGCCCAGGTTGGCCTCAAACTTGTGATAATTCTCCTGACTCAGTCATCCAAGTCCTGGGATTACAGGCATGCCTCACCAAGCCTGGTTTTCTAAATGTGATTTCTTATAGAACCTTTAGTAATTTATACCCAAATGATATGGATAATTTTATTTATGTGCTACATCAAACTATATAAAACATGAATATTTATGATGAAGTCCATATTTATTTGCAAAACTGTTTTGATAGACAAATTTCCTTAATAGCTACATTATATTTTTACTCCATACACTTTTCTCCAAGATTGTTTATAAAATTAACAGCAGCTTTTCAATTTTACAGTAAACCTACAACTGTTCTTACAAGTATTTTTTAGAAAGCAAGAAATTGAATGGAACTGCAAAATGAAAATGAAAAGCTATGGAATTTGTATTAACCACATATACAGCACTATATACAAATACATATGTGTGTATTTAGTGCTATATAGAACTATATTCTTATTCAAAACATGGATTAAAATATGGATTTAAAATGGCTATCTTCTCTCTTTGTAAGACAGAATACTTTTTGTTGATGACTTGTACTCTGGTAACTACTTTGAAGGGAATGATACACTATTGTTATTTAATTATTATTTTGTTATTCTTTATTATTTTTGATGAAATTTTATTTTATTGTTTCATAAAATAAAAACAAAAACATTTAAAACCAAGTTAGGAAGGAATAGACACTATCTTGAAAAACTATAAAGATGAGATGAAATATTTTCATATTGGACCAACACCACCATAAAGTAACTCTAATAAAGTTGGTTACAAAAACAATAAAATAAAATGATTAGCTCAGAACATACTAACAAAAACTATATTCTATGTTGAACAGCAGGAAAGCATTGAGAACAGTACATCGAAGGAATAATTCAGGTGCCATGATTATAAATTAACTGGTCCAAAAACAATAAATTATAAAAGTATTTTGTACTTCCATATAATATTGCGCAAAGGAAATAACAGAATTAATGCACTGGCATGCCACAATAATAACTTTGAAATCCTAATCATGGAAGAAAAAAAAAAAACTATTGAAACATGATTCAGGAGCTTCAGTACTTTAAACAATATAACTTTCAATGGGCACACAAGGAAGTATCTAATGTATGAATCATATATTACATTGAGCTATAAAATACCCTCAATATAAAAAAAAAAACTATGAACACTAGGTATCATCTATCCAGAATAGAATAAAACATGGAGTACACAAAATATTGATACACAAAATAATCAGTGAATTATGGACACTAGGGCTTGATAATGACTAAGAAAAGCAACATTAAATGGTATTTGAAAGCATTTATAAATAAATATAGAAATCAATACATTTTTAAGTTAAACTTAGGAATCTTACTGATTTGACACTTTCTCCTTGATATTACAAGATTGTCTTTTACACAGTTCCTATCCAGTTGACTTTTCATTAAAAATGACAAAATATTGAACATTTTATTTATTATTATTGACTTGTAGATATGAAGTGTTGATGCCATGCCTATGCTACATACAGGAATAAGTTGTACACAGAAGGAAATATAAATGTTCCTACAGAGCCCAGATTTCATATTCTTTCTATGAAAAGTGTTTTTTCTAATCAAATAAATCACAGTGACAATAATTAGTAATATGTACTTATTTGACAAGGAGATGAATAGCAATTATCTGATATATCCTATATTCCAGTCTTCTGGGACTTCATAGAACACTTAAAAGTCTGTTAAGTAAATAATTTTGCCTAACTATTCAATGAAAGTTAGTTGAGATACTGGTGCAAGATACCAACAATTATCTGCCTGTTCTTCATCACCTTCGTCAATCATCTATTAAGTCCATATCTTTAAAGTCATGAACCACACAACATACTCAAAGAAATACGGGACTGAAGACAACAGGTTCATGGGGACCAAACCATCTCAGATTAGAAGTTGTTTTGGGACACATAAACAAGCTATGTTTAAAATTGCTATACTAAATTAGGTAAAACTGTGGCAAACAAGGCATCTGGAACACTCAGTAAATGGACTTAAACTAGTAAAACAGAGTGATTTAAAGAGATAATTTCAATTTATCCCATTCTGAATATTAAACTTCACTGAGCATTCTATTTTTAGCGCCTGACTTTCCTCTTCCATTAGTACACATTTATAGTACAGAGTGATCACATTCCTTAGGGAGAATTTGTGCATCAGGTAACACATCTTAATTCTTTTGACCCTTCCTCTCCCCTATCCTACCCTTTTTCCCCTGCATAACTGCAAAAACTCTATTTCTGTTTTTTCTTTCAACTCTTTATTTAAAAATCTCTTTTCCCTTCTTTTCCTCCCTCATCCCTCATCTCTTGTACCCTTTCTAATTGAAAAAATTCTTCCCATTGTCTAATGTAGTATTAGATTCCTGTTGAGGAAAATGAATTTTTCTGGTGTTTCTCAAAGACTAACAGTGCACTTGCTCCACAATGGCTCTAAAATGTAAGACTTTACAATACAATATTCCTACTGTATTATCAGGAGTAATGATGAAACTTAGGTTTAAAATGCTGGGTCAGTAAACACAATTGCAATCTGATAATATGCATTTATTTATAAAGACTTTCTTAACCACTTATCAGTTCAATTATTTAAATACAGTTGACTGAAAATTGCATATTTTTATTAATTTTATAAGATAATGTAACAGGAAATATAAAAAGTTTTATCAAATTTATTCAATACAAGAATCCACTGGTTGAAATGACACTTGCCTGAGATCACATAGTTATTAAAGCCATATTTGACTACCCTAATTATTTTTAAATTTTTGGCATGCATATTATTTTAATTTATTTTAAATGTTAATTTATTTAGTATATTTTTAATTTTATTTTTTGCTCCTACCAATTTAAACAATATTTTTGAACTAGTTTTATCCTGTATTCCAATGAAATTACAGGCAGCATCATTAATTTAACCCATTTTTTAATCAGATAATATCATATTAAAAACACATGGATTTTTAGTTCCAGAAAACAACCAAACTTCACATAACTTTGCAGTTCTCTCCTCTATCTCCTCTGATTTTGCTTAAGATCTGGAAACCAGGATGAGAGGAATGGATGTGTATTGAGATTTTCTTCTTTACCTGCCATTCCCTGGCTACAATTTCTGACTTACCAAAATTAGCTGCTTAAGTGAGTGGTTAAGTAGATGGTGCTTCCTCACTACTGTAGTCTTGATTAGTATTTGATGCCTTTCAGGATTAGAAGATGGCCAAAGGTGGCTCTCCCTGCAATGGCCACTCAGAGAAGTTCTTTGGCTGAGAGACTTAGGTTCTATTAAATTCATCACCTCTTCTGGTTGTTGTTGTTTTTTTTTTTTTTTCTCTCTCCTCAGCTCCCAGAGTACATCGTACACCCAAGAAGCCAAATGAGCACTTCAGGCAAGACTCTCTAGATGATCCAGGACAGTGCCTCTCTTAAGAATTCATAACTTAGATATAGAAAATGTATTTCTAGTTTTATTTGCATTTTTAATTGTAAAAAAGATTAAGATAAAAGAGGGCATAATAACACAGGTCAGAAAAGAACAATTTAGGCAACATAGTGTTTCACCACAAGACAATCCGACATAACATTAGCTACCATAGTGTCTCTTTCCTTGAAATATTTGAGTATACCTTCATATACTATAGTATCAAACATAAAAAGACAGTGTGAAGCCATTTAAGAGAATGAAAGTATTACAGGGTATTCAGAACCAACTAACAGAAAATGAACAATGGTTATGATATTATCTCCTTGTCTATAATAATTTTTGTTTATACCTATCACATATAATAAAATCCAGTAAGATACAATGTGATAAAAACCTATGGAGACAGAAGAACATAAGCTTGGTGGGACTTCAAAACAAGATGATATTAAATCATCACCAGCTATTATCATGTCCTGTTTTCTTCAAAATAGCTGTTCATACCATCACAGCCACTAATATAAACCCAGAATGAAACCATCGTAACTAATTAATGAGAACATTTTAAGGCTTCAAAGCAATATAATGGGGAATCATGTTTACCACATACTTTTATGTATTCTTACCATTTCTTACACTAGGAAAACTCTTCAGTGTTTATACATGTGAGCTTGATTTATTTCACTTATGAGAATGGTCTCAAGCTGTGCCCATTTATTTATAAATATCTCAATGTGATCATTCTTTATAGCCAAGTAGTACTCCATTGTATAAAAATACCACAGCTTTTTTATCCATTCCTCAGTTGATGGACACATAGGTTGTTTCCAAGATCTGGCTATTACAAATTGTGCTGCTACAAACATGGGTGCACATATATCACTGTGGTATGATGTTTTCAGTTCTTCTGGGAATATGCCTAGAAGTGGAATAGCTGTAACAAATAGGACTTCCAATCCCAACTTTCTGGGAAATCTCCAGACTGACCTCCATAAATGTTGCACCAGTCTACACACCCACCAACAGTGCAGAAGAGTTCCTTTTTCCCTTCAGCCTCTTCAGCATGTGTTATTGGTAGTTTCCTTTATCCTGGCAATTCTTTCTGGAGTGTGATGGAATCTTAGTGTGCTTTTAATTTGCATTTCTCTAAGGAGTAATGATAATGAACATTTTTTTCATGTATTTATTTGCCATTTGTATTTCTTCATCTGAGAATCTCAGATGTCCATTTTTGGATTAGATCCTTGAATTTTGGTGGTCTGATTTTTTAAAATTCTTTATATGTTTTAGACAGAAGTCCTTCATCTGAGGGACAGTTCACTAGGATTGTCTCCCAGTTTATAGGTTTTCTTTTCACTATGCTAGAGATTTCTTTTGACATGCAGAAACTTTATAATAAGACATGATCCCAGTTATTGATTCTGGGAAGTATTTCCCGTGCAGTTTGATTCCTATTCATGAATTCTCTACTTATCCCTGTGTCTTCAAGGTTTTTACCCAAATTGTTTTCTAATAGATTTAGTGTTTCTGCTTTAATATTCAGATATTTGATCCATTTAGATTTTAATTTAGTATTTGGCCACAGGCATGGGTCTAGTTTTAGTTTTTGGCATATGGAGAGCCAGTTTTTCCAACACCATTTATTAAAGAGACTGTCATTCATCCAGTGAACCTGTTTGGCCCCTTTAATCAAAGATAAGATATTTGAGTGTGTTTGTAGTTGTGGTTGTATCTTCCAGTCTATTGCATTGATCTTCAGCTCTGTTTTTATTCTAGTACCATATTGATTTCACTAAGGTTGATTTGTAGTATAACTTCAAGTCAGGGATTATGATGCCTCCTGCCTTGCCTTTGGTGCTTAGAACTGTCTCTGTTATTGTAGGTCTCTTCTGGTGCCAGATGAATTTTAGGAGTGATTTTTTGAGATCTTTTTGATGGTATTTTTATTGGGATTGCATTGAATATGTATAATAGTATTGGGAGAATGGCCATTTTCACAATATATATTCTTCCTATCCATTAGCAAGGGAAGTCTTTCCATTTTCTGAGATCCTCTTCAAATTCTTTTTTTCAGTGTATTATAATTTTCCTTATATAGATCTTTCTCTTCTTTCATGAGAATAACTCCTCAGTATTTCATTTTTTTAGTTGCTATTGTGAAGGGTGTGACTTCTCTCATTTCTCTGTGATTTTGTTGTTACTGTATAGAAATGCTATTGATTTTTGAGTATTGATTTTGTATCCAGCCAAGGAGCTTCTTTGTGGTAAAACCTTGAATCTGCCTTTTTTTTTTCCTGTTTCAGCGCACCAAAAGCTCCAACATAACATGTTTCTATAATTATAGTGAATGATGTTAAATTAACATTTGATTCACTTCCTAGGTATTCTCTGCTGTAAAACATTTTTTCACCCACAAAATGCAATTCCTTCCAATCGTCAGAATTCAATCATGAATGACAGCTCAATCAATGGATCTATCGATCTATCGGACTACTACTCAGGCATAAAACAGGATAAATTTGAGTCATTTGTAAGAAAAGATATACCTTGAAACCACAAAACTAATGAAATAATTCCGTCATGAAAGCTTGAGCCTCACATGTTTTACATGAGAAATTCAAAGAACAAATAATTCAAAGAGCAAAATAAAGGATCACAGGAAATGGGGAGGTAGATACCTTGCAGATGGGAAGAGGATCAATGGATGAAGGAAGGCGGAGGAGAGTGGGGGAAAAGAGAAATGAAAAGGTTCCTGATGTGGGTATATACATGTAATGACTCTGCAGGATGAAATGTATCCATTATGCATCATAAACATTTACTAATAAAACATAAGAGTTGGAAAGGTGCATCTCTAATGCTGAGAAGATAGCCTGAAAACTTTCACTATAAGTTTCCAAGGGAATGGTCTAGCATAGTGGTGATGAACCTTTTGGAGCTTGTAGTGATACAAAGAGCCTGCTGTGGCATGTGTGTCCTAGTTCATCACTGCCTCCAATACTTCATTTGAAGATGTGCTGCTCTTGGCATCTACATACTGTTCCTGGTCTTAGAATTTCAGCTGAGTCTTGTATTTAAATCCTATATTGTAATTATTAATTTTAGCTGTCAACTTTGAATAATTTCTCTAACATTTAATTAAACATACTTTACCTGCATTAATTTATTGACTATTTGAAACCTATTTTCTAAAATAAAAATTCTATTACTAACTCCACATTACCAATTAATATATTGAAACTGAAAGCTCAAAGAAGTTAAAACTATCATAAGCACAGATAGTAAGAAAAAAAATCATCCATATTTAAAGACAGTTGGTCTTATATTAAATACCAAGTATCTAAAAACTGTGATAGATGTGTCTCTGATTTTTTGAATAACAAGAGAAGAAATTATCAATAAGCAAAATGGAGCAGTTCATAGAGCAAGAGGAGGTGTCCTGATTACTTTTCTCTGATTGTTGAGACAAAATACCTGACATCCAAGTGAAGCAAGGGAAGGTTTACTTATCTGAAAGTTTTTTGGAGATTTCAGTCCATACTCAACTGGTTCCAAGGCAGGGTGGAGTGGCTGAAGGAGAGTCATTCATGGCCACCCCAAACACCAACTGGGAAAGAGCAAAAAAGGAAAAAAAAAGCATGCTGCCTTCCCTCCCCCATGCTGTATGCTGGCTCCTTGCCCCTGGGTGGGCACAGCACTCACACTGCCAATCCCAGGGCTTGCCAAGGAACCAATCGCAAATGTTCGATTCAGCTGCTTCCATGACTCTATGGGGGTTGGGGGTGGGGGAAGCACATCTGAAACACAAACCACAAAAGTTGATAAAGAGCCAAAGTGATCTCTCAGATAGATGTTGGAGGCATTTCAGTTTTCTTACTGAAGGATACTAAAAAGTAGCCATAAAAATTAAGACTTTAAAAGTTTACATAACTTTACATGGATCTTTTCCTGAAATAACACTAAAAATCAATTACCTTAATATTATGATTTTGAACCTTATTTTTAAATTAAATTGATCTTATGAAGTGTCATTTAACTGCCTGATCTCGCACAGTGCGAAATGTATAAATCCTGAACCAGAGTCATACACATTTCTTTTTAACAATAAAATATTTAAGCTGGTACTTTTTTAAGCTATTAATTTTGAATTTTATAATATTTTACACCTAATCTTCTGAACTGGACCAAGATAATGAGCAAATCTTATGACAGAAGGTTATGAACATTTGTATTCGGTCAGCAAATTCTGAATTAAATCCTACTGGGAGGGGGTTGGGGATTTAGCTCAGTGGCGTAAGCACCTGCCTTGCAATCAGGCTGTCGTGAGTTCGATCCCTGGTACCGATAAAAATGAAAAAGTAAAAAAAAAAAAAAAATCCTACTGGGAAGTTAAACTTCACATCTTATTTACTTCAGCTTTGAAGACTGCTCAAGAAGACAGCTCTAACTACTGATAAGCATGTATTTTCCCCAAGGAAATTTCCATTTAAAAAAAAAAAGTTATTCTGGGAAAAGTAGGTACTGTGTGCTGTATAGATCAGAAAGGAAAATTGCAGTTATGTCACTTAAAAAGGTCTGGAACCCAATGCTGTCATTTGTGCAAACTGTATTACTAACCTTAGAAAAATGTGTAAGAAATATAAGCACATAGCTGTTCTTGTGATGTTAGAATAAGCAAAATGAAGCCAAACTGGACTGGAATGAATGACATCTTACTTTTTAAGGCTGAAATCACAGCCAACTGACCCTAACTTAATGACTGCTGGAACATTTTATTTAAAATCATCCAGTATTATATAGAGCATGGCAAAGTGTGTCAATAAAATTATAAAATGAAACATTTAAAATGAGAAAGTTTAACTTTTCATAATGTTCAGGGTGGCCACTACAGTTTTCACAATTTTATTTTAAAAAGTTTTCCGCAATTATCTTAGAAAACATTTGGATTTGGCCAAATTTTTATCAAAGATGAAAAACTTAATATGACTGTGCAAATATGTAAGAATCTAGAAGGCTGATTTTTTAACTGCAAATCCATGTGGAGTGAGTTAATGCATTTCCTATTGCCAATAGAATTCCTAGTGACTATAAATTGTTTCACCCAAAAAACTGAGCATTTAAAATATCTCAACCAAACATGCCACCCAATTAAACCTGGGTTTTGGGGTCTGGGGATTTAGCTCAGTGGCATAAGCGCCTGCCTTGCAAACAGGCAGTTGTGAGTTTGATTCCTGGTACCGATAAAAACAAAAAAGACCAAAAAAAAAAAAAAAAAAAAAACCCAAAAACCTGGGTTTTGGTACAATGTCTAATAAGCAATAAAAAATACGAACTTAACAAATATGGCCCTTTAGATTCTACTTACCACTATGTTATCTGACCAAGTCAAATTGTGAATGACTGGCAAAAATTTTGATGCACATATTTTTGGGGAAACTGACTTTTGGCTTTAAGATTATACAATTCCCAAGAGTCCAAAATATATAAATGGTTTTTTTTTTCAGACCATGTGTCCCTAAATCTATTTAAAGAAAGACACATTTTTGAATAATTATTTCTATTCAAGAATCTTTTGCTTAAATATTTCCTAATCTCACAAATGATAATTGAGATGAATACATCTATGCATAGCACATCCAATTAATTCCACAAGAGTATGTTCTTTTTTTTTTCCCAATTTTGAGAAGCATTACTCTACTTTGTACAATGGCAATTAGTAGATAACTGTTGCATGGGAGAGAACTTAGTGGTTTCTACGTTATCACATGCTATGTGAGGCAAAAAATAATCTGTTAATTTATCTTTTGGTAAATATCCAAAATTACCTTACAATTTTGAGCATGAATGAGATCAGTAAATTTAAGAAATGATTCTTTTAGGTTGTTTCTGAGTAGTTTTAATAAAAATAGTTTACCACAAACAATATATAATGTTTTTTAATGAGATGTTATTGGAATAACAGTTTTATTTGTATTCCCATTTGCTACAGAATACACACTGGCAGCACTTGTGGCTACAGCGTTTACCCTTAGGAATTTGTAGATTATTGTCCTAACCTTACTTTCAAAGTCTGACACAAAATACCACGGTTTTATTGTTACTTTTGTATTGCTATAGTGTACTGGTATTCTTTGCAAACATATCTTTCTATTTATAGCACTCTTTTTAGTAGCATTTTCATTCATAAAATATAGTTCTTCTAGATCACTGAAAATTAAATGAACATTGGCAGCAAGCTGCACTTTTTCCTAAATGGGAAATGGGTTAAATACTGTTTTCTTACACATGATAAAAATGTTGAAGTTAAAATAAAGAGAACTTCATTCTATTGGTTGAGACTAGGAAAGACAAACCAGGTTAAAAGATACTAGTAGTTGGCTCTGACAGGCAGGAGCCAGGAGCTGTTGTCCACCCTATGAGCACCACACCAACATCAAGGACGCAAGACTGCTGCCATATAGGTGAGATACGAGACCCAACATACCACCGCTGACATTCCCATCACCTCAACTGAGCCAGTCCAACAAAAGGCCTAGGAGCAATTTGAGAACAGTCTGTGGACAGACATTAAGACTGCATCCATTTGTAGCTTCAATTACACCAGCAACAGTAACTGCACTGCAGTTAAATATGGGATAGAGAAATGACTGAAGCTACTACTATAATTTTTTTTCTTGACATACCATATGCAAGAAATAGTCCCCATCTTAGAATGACTGAGTCAAGTGGACAGTCTAGATAAATTAATGAAATTGAATTCTCAATCTACTGAAAGAATAGTGCATCATTGTCACATATCAAATGTGCAAAAGTATGCAATGTTTTATATCTACCTCACTTTTCCAAATATATTTGGCTTAGTAAAACAATTAGAATAGTAAAATGAATCAGAAAAATATTTTCCTGTATCTCCAGATAGGAAAGTTTTAAACTCCTCTTTCTTCTATTGTCACAAGAGCACTAGTTTTTAATATGTTACATAAAGACCTACTGCATCAGTGTAAGGGGTATTTTCTAATAAATTCTAATAAATCATATTTATGGTGTAAAAACAAGCACTATGTGTCTTTCCAATGTTTTCTTTTATTTGTTAATCTACTTTGAAACAAACTGCTTGGAAAATTATCCACATTACATTCCGAGGTTACTGCTAAGGGTCAGTGTTTTTTTTTAAATGATGATTGCTAACAAAACTGTATGCATTCACAGTGTATGACATCATGTTTTGAGACAGGTATACACTGTGAAATCATTACAGTGCAGATAGATTTAAACTTCGTGATTTTGTCTTCATTGAGAACACATAGATCAATATTTCTACAATTTTACTCTGAAATATTATAAGAAATTTTATGAATTCACTACTTACACTTCAGACAATTCCCCTACACCATCAGTTAGTAACAAGTTAACTAACTATCACTAGATTTCATTATATATCCTGGAACTGCAATGAAGTCTGTTCTGAGTCAGGGAAACAGATGCTACAGAAGTCACTGTGCTACTCTTCAGGCCAACCAAACCTCTTAATCTATAAACTATCACAGACATACAGGCATGTACTGGGCTCCCTTTTGTTGGGAATAAAATCAGGAAGGCCTGATCAAGCATAGATATAGCTAACATGTCAGTTTTCACCTTAGGTTCATCATTTGAATTTTACTGATGATTGCAAGGAAGTTAAAGCAAGGACAACAGCAAAACACACACACACACACACACACACACACACAAATAACTTTTAGTCTTTTAGCACAAACTACTGAGGACAGTAACCTAGTCTTGAACTGATGCTAGTAGGGCATTAACAAAGTTACACGTGTAAGAACTTCACTGCATTCCAGCTGGAGAGGAAGCCTCTATGTGGCCTCAGAAGCCACCCTGCATACAAGTAAAAAGAGCATAGCATGACACTAACACTGACACTGCTGCCCACCCAACTGCTAAGTCTCCTATTGGAGCTCACCCTGTAGTCTCAAAGATTGATTATATTTGTAGAAAGCAACTACACTTTTCAAATTGGGGCCACTTAGTTATAATATCTAAAGAAAAAGCTCATTAAAACAGGAAAATTCGTTTTCTTTTTAAAGTCATTTTCCTCATTTAAAAATTTACTACTTTAAAAATATTCATCTTTCCATTATACTAATTTCTTTGCTGGACAGTAGTGACCTGAAAAATAAAAATAGCTTCACGAAATGTACAGTATGCAGACTTCTTTATCTATAGATGTTCAAACTTGGCCTTAAGTGGACTATATTTTACATTCCCTTTAATCAGTCTCACGCTGACTAGAGGAGTTGGGGATTCACTTCCCTGAAAATATAATTATGCCTGCTGGGATCACTTTAGTTGACTTTCTATTTCAGCTGATTTTATTCTCTTTCTTGCTACCTGTTTTGATCATTCATGCTTTCTACCTCTTCCCTAAAAGTACTCTTAAAGTTTCTTACACTTCAATAGCTTGGTTCTGTTAAAATTATTATATATACCCCACAAATGATTATAGGCAAGCACAGTTTTACTTTGTCCTCACCAGGTGATCTGTTATTCTTTTAATTTTTGTTTTTATTAGCCCATGTTTGCAGTGCATAATGATTACACTGATTGTGGTGAGCTGGCTCATGTACATAATACATCTTCAGTCTCCTCTCATCTCCTCCCCATCCCTTCCCTCATCCTTCTCTACATCTCTTGGGGTCACCTTTCTTCCCTTCTGCAAAAGATCTATCTCCCTTTGTTTTGTTATCTTCTTTTATTTTGCTATTTATGCTTTGGGTTCCCCATATAAAAGAAATCACACTCCATTAAAGCTTGCCCTTCAATTAACATTATGTTAGCCAGGTACATCCTTTTCTATCTTTTTATAAATGACCCAAATTTATCTTTTTTATGGCAGAGTAATATTCCATTGTATATACATGCCACAGTTACTTTTCCCATTCATCTGCTCATTGGCATACAGGTCTCTATGATTTAGCTATTATGAGCTATTCCTCTATGAGTATGCCTGTATGCCTGTACTATGATGTATTTAACTCTTCCAGTAAAAGTTGTAGAATGAGAATACTCCATTCAATGTGATTTCTGTTTTAAGTATTTTGCGGAATCTATATACTGATTCACACAGTGCTGATACCAGTTTCCACTCCCATCAACAATGAAGAAGGGCTCCTTTTCACCCACAGCATTGGCAGCATTTGATATTACCTGATTTCTTGATGACACTAATGTCTTTTCATTTTATCACAATTTTACTGTTTCCTGTTCAAAATCATGCCACAATTCTGAATTATTTAATCATACATTAGATATTCCATACAGTTAATATTCAAAAATAAACTGATAATAGAAAATCAGTTAATAGATTAAAAGGAATAATTCAGGCTTTATATAAACAGATTTTAAGATCTTTCCAAACCACTGGATATTTAAATATTTTTAAATCTTTTAAGTGAAAATTATTTTTGAAATATTTGTTTCCTTCTAGATACGTTCTATGTATAACCTCATAAATGCATCACCATATTTGACATTCTCTCAGATAAACCAGATATAGTAAGACATTTATATTTGGAAAACACACTCAATGAATGGTAGAGTATTTTTTATCATATTATCCAGAGGCTAGGCTCACTTAAAATAGAAATAACCTACAAAGACAAAGAAATAATACACAACATACTCTCTTTCTATGTGCTTACCAGGTCTGTCAGTGTAAGCTTAAGTGCTTACTGGAAGTCCAAAGCCTTAGGACTTGAAGTGGACAATAACTTGAATAGGGTATCAAGTTTACAGATGTAAGTTAAGGACACAGAGTGGAAGAAATCATTAGAATTTGATGTTAAGAAATAGAACTTAGCAATTAGACTGACTACACAAGATTAAACTTAGAGAAGCATCACTGATGATTTGATACCTTTTGTGCTAGTTTTAAAGTGAAAAAAAATTGAAACTTGCATATAACTCAATGCTATGCCTTTCTTTAGTTTAGAAAAGAACTATGTTTATGTTCAAGACAGAAGAATTGTTTGGGAAGAAACTGTATGGTTCAAAGAGTTTTACATAAATTTTATATAAATCTATTCAAAACACACTTGCTAAACAACAGTGCTATGTTCTTTTATGGTATATTCTTTAAAACAAAAGATGTAATTCACAGGTAATTTTTAAGAATCTTATTATAAAGTATTTTTATTTTTAAAATAATCTTTTAAGTGTTATATAAACACATAAACAAAGGCTAATGTGGGGTATATTCACAGATTAATCCACATGTTCTCAAGTTAGCCCTACTTGAGGCTGCCTGTCACTACAGTGATGGTACTAACCAGTGTTTCTTGCTCCTCGCTCCAGTACAAACCATAACATACTTAACAGCAAAATGTCCTTTCCTGAAAAGTAACATCGAATAGCATTACTGCTATTGCTATTATATACCACCACCTCACTGACAGAATACTATCACAAAATTGAAAATATCATAAACCTGACTTCCTTAAATCAACTTCTATAAACATTCCAAATTTATAATTTGTGTTTTTTAAATGAACATGTGTCATCCAGTATATATTTTGTGTCCCCCTATACTCTCTAAAGTATCAAGATCCAAAATAATTCCATCAACATTTATTTCTAGTTGAAGATCAAGCTTTGAGTCCCTTTCCCTTGCAAGGTACAAAAAAAAAAAAAAAAACCTATCCTTTAAATAACTAAAATAACAAATCCAACTTGAGAAAGATGATTCCATCCAATTCCACTTTTCCATATAATATTTTTCTTAGCAAACTTAGAAGAGTAGTAATAAGCCCATGTAAAAACAGCTTACTCTGAAAAGCTGATGGATGACATGTATTAATGTGAACAAAGGAAATCTTCTGCACCAGCAGATATTCACTAGAAGCCACATATGAGTTCTACCATGACTAAACTAGTCTCAAGTTTTGAATTGGGGTTTTAATTGAGTCCCATTTTAAATTTTTTGTTTGCATCATATTTTAAAGACACTAAGTTTAAAGACACTTCAGTGTAGAGAAAAGCTGATTTAGATATTTAAAAATATATCAGGAGTAAACATCCACTACCCTGAAAACAGAACAGCTTCCACCTAAAATGTTAACTAATCAGGAAAATCTAACCAGTTATGGATCAGAAAATCTTAGTACCTACCCCCATATGTAATTGGACTATTTATATGGAGAATGTTAGTATAAATTTTAAGTTTAGGGTGCACTCTAATCTAAATTTAATCTGATTCTGCTTACAAAATTCGAGTTAAAATGTAGTGCTAAAGAAACAGTGACAGGTTACAGAGGGAAATGAAGCTTGGCAAAAACCTAAACTCTCAGATATAATCATCTGGAGAACAGCATCATTTTCAAAATTTCTGTCATAAAAAAACAGGTCTCAACCTTGTCCTCCCACACGGTTACAAAATATAAATAGCAAGGAAAGACAGCTAGCACCTGTTCTTGATTTAGTGGACATGCTTCTGCTTCTTACATACATCAACTTCATTAATTCATCCTGATTTCTGGGATGAAGTTCGCTACTTTTTGTGTGGGACACTTAATAGCACTTCTGGTTCTGTAGGGCTTTAAGATTTGTCAACAGTCCCACTATGGGTTCTATACAAAAAAGGAAGTAAAATCTGTGAAAGAGATGTCTGTACTACCATGTTCCACCACAGTACTACTCACAAGTAGCCAATATGCAGAACAATCTAAGAGCCTGCTGTTGCTGAAACTGTATCTATCTGAGAAGCTTAGAAGTTTAAATTATTCAACAAACAGCCAGAGGCCTTATTTTTTAAATAGACTCATCCTATGCAAGAGGAGGGCAAAGAGATTTTGTGAACAAAACCTACCCTGGGAATGGCAGGAGAGACCTGTGTATAATATAAGGCAGGAAAAGAAGCTTTTTCATCCCTTTTGCTCTTGCTGCATTGCTGTCTTCTGTCATCTTGAACTTTGCCTTACTGAATTGTTACCACCTTGCCTGGGAGCCAGCTGATTTTGGACTGAAACTTCCACAAACCGTGAGCTAAATAAACCTTTCCTTCCTTAATTTGGGGTGTTGGGTATTTTGTCTCAGCAACAAGAGAAAAGTAACCAAGGCAGTGTCCATCCACAGATGAATGTATTTCTAAATTTAGTGCAAGTGAACAATGAAATACTATGCTGAAAATCAGTCATAGGCAACAATGTGGATGAAATTAGACTATGTTCAGTTATATTAAATAAGTTAGGCAAAGAGTAACAAATACTGCACCATCTCATTTATATGTGTAATGAAAACCAATTCTGAGACATACAAGTGTAGAAAGGCAGTAGGTGGGAGTTAGATGTGAGGTAGATGAAGAATGTGGAGATATTAGGTAGTAGGTACAGTTACAGTAGAAAGAGTAAGCTCTCGTATTACATTTCACAGCATGGCAAATACAGTTAATGTTCTGAATATTTCAAAATAGCTGAAATAATGGATTTTAAATGTTCACACAGTAAAGAAATAATAGACATTTAAAATGCTACATATACTAATTAGTACATCAAATTTGAAGCCACTACTCTACAATGTACACTTGCATTGAAACACCACATTTTACCCTGTAAGTTTTAACAGTTTATATGAGCTAAGTTATTTAAAATTAAAACAAAATATATTTATTTTCATTTTTATGCCTTTAAGCCTAGACTAATAGAATTGTGCTAAAGTGAAATCTCAGGATAGATGAAAGTCTACCTGTCATTAGAGAATCTGAAAAAGGGCAGCTATTTTCTCTCCTGGCTTTTAGCAGCTCTAAAATAGGTACATATTATAAAAGTACTATCCACTAAAAGGCCCCAGCCTTTTATTCTGGAGTGACTGATGGTAAGAATCACAGACAGAATTAATTCCAGCAGTGGTGGTAGGAGAAAAGGCTTCTTGGAGTGTTATCAGAATCTGGTGCTAAACTACTGTCCTTATGAGAAAAGCCCACTAGTGTACAATGATAATAGGCTTTACCTAACATATTAAAAAGATCAAAGAGTTTGTAAGTATGGAGTCAAATTATTTAGTAGGACATGTATGTTGCATAAAAAAAGACAAAGGTCAATGGACTTAAACTATAGATGTTAATTCTTTCCAGAAATGACATCTCCACTGAGGCAGACATGTTACTCAGAAACAACAGATGAATAAGGAGCCACCAGCTTGATAGCTGCTGGTCACCAAGGAAGATAGAACCTGAGCCTCTAGAGAGTGTCACACTGATAATGAGAGCATACACATTACTTCTGACTGAAACTCCCTGGCCAGACTAAGAATGCAACCTCATCCAACTACAGAGGCAGCCAGAAAATTCAATTCAATCTTGTATTTTGAAATAAGAAAGCAAGAAACATTGTACAAATAGAACTAATAACTGCCAATTTCTTTGACATTTTCTCTCTTTCTCTTTTCCAGCTCTGATAAGATTTCCTTGAAATTTTGAAACACAAATTGTTTTCCAGCATTTTCAGCTCAGTGAGGCCAAGAGCATGGTGACTCCATTTCCCTCCTCAACCACAAAGACTGGCCCACGTCTGATTAAGGGAGAAATTCTTAGTGCCACGCCACACACAGCCAGGAGACAGCCCACGGGCTATCTCTGCTCGTTAGCATCTTTCCAGCACTGCTTTTACTCTCATACTTTGCCCAGAATGCTAAGTCTGTTGCCATAACTTATGCTTCCAAGGAGTCCAAGATCCAGAGCAACAAAGCACATTTTAAAAATACTGAGAGAGTGGTTTGGACCACTGACATACTGAGCTAACAGAGATGAAAACAGCATTTTTATGGCATTTCTCTTGAAAAAAAAATCAAGAGAGGAAGAATATTCTGAACAGATCAAAGGTAGAGGATAAAACAGATACCCCTTCTCACCACCAAGAGATAAGAATGTATAGGCAAAGAGTATTTGTTACTCTTTGCCTAACTTATTTAATGTAACTGAACATAGTCTAATTTCATCCACATTGTTGCCTATGACTGATTTTCAGCATAGTATTTCATTGTTCACTTGCACTAAATTTAGAAATCCATTCATCTGTCGAGATAAGAATGTATAAGAGGCCATTACATTAGCTCTCTGGTTACTACTAGAATACTCTGAGGAAATTACTCTTGTTCCTCACAAAATAAACAGAGAACTGCATGTTCCAGGAAGGGACACGTGGTACAACTGCACTTAGTCTGCCTGGGTGGTCAGATTCGATGTGAGATGAGCTCCAGCAAAATCAGCTAGGAGCTCAGTAGGAAGACACTTCTGGAAGGGTCATACTCAGCATATGATCCTGTAATGTCCATTGACCTTATTCTAAATCACTGCAATTATTTGGCAGAGTGTCACTCATTGATAATGACAGTAATGTCCTAACTCATCCCTGTTTGTCAACTGCTGCCCTTTCCAACCACTGTTTGTCATCTTGCTGCAACAATAAACTTTTTTTTTTTTTGGTACTGGAATCAAACTCATGACCTCACACTTGCCAAGCAGGCACTTTGCCACTAAGCTATACTCCTATCCCCTAGAATAATCACTTTAATAAATAAATTTGAGTTAATTCTTCTTTTCCCAAAAACATGACAATAGGCTTTTGCTTCGATCACAAATTCCTAAGGGTCTGGAATAAAAACAACCTACCCAACAATTACTATACCAAGTTACCAGATCTTAATCAAGCTTAAGATTTTCTCAGAAATCTTTGTTTTCTTATCCTAGTCTACCACAACTATTTTTAACTGGCATTTCTGACCCTAGTCTCCACAGCCTCTGGAAAAGGCATTATAAAATATGAATTACATTACATTCTTATTTTCTAAAATCTATTATTTTTTCTAATTAATTTTAACAATGGTTCTCCAAGACCCTTGTGTATCTAGAGAACACTGAAAATTAAATTTATAACCTTAAAAAATCCTTCTCATTTTGAATTTTAATTTATAGCTTTTAAATACATTCATAGAAAGAATCTAAAGTTTCCCTTTAACATGGAGGCCACAGCCTGCAAATCAGATAAAGTGAATTCTCAGACAGCCTGTCTCGGTCAGGAATCATGGGGCTGGGTGAAAATGATCTCAGTCACACAGTACTACAAATTCACCCACAAATGGCCACTAATTAAAGTATGAATCATGAAAACTAGCAAATATAAAGTCACATTGAAAAGATAAATTACAGAAAAGGGAGTATTAACCACTTATTTGGTGGGAAGGGATTTCAATACCAAATTATGTTATTCTCAGATAAACACCTGAAACTTCATTAATTTCATCACTTAGAAATAGATATGAACACCATAAACACAGGCCATTGAGTTTAGTCCAAATTTGAAATATTAAAACATTAATATTGATATAAAAATGCAATATTAATATAAAGTATTAACATTTTAACTGGCAAAATGTACATAGGAATTATAGAAAATTCTATGTATTACTTAGTTCATTTAAAACGATTAATTCTGAAATAAATGAAACATTATATTTTGATTTCCTCTTTACAGTAATCATGTCTTTATCTAAAACTATCATGCACCAACATTAGATAAGCTGTTATTTAAAATTAATGAAGACATCTTATTAGAATATAAGGAATCCAAAAGCACAATATTATTGAAGCATGCTGACCAAAAAGGCTTCTCAGGATTCCCTCATTTTTCAATTGCTGTCCTATCTCCAATCCTTCTTGCCCCTCCATAAGAAAACTATACCAAATTAGTTGTACTTTCAAAGAATCACCAACCTCTTTCACTGTTAGTATTTCTTTGAATCATTCGCAAAAGTCCTTTTCTGCTGGCTCTCTGAACAATGAACTGGCTCTCATGAACAATGTCATCCAAGACTGCACACACATTATCTCCTGTAGAAAACTTCTGTGGACTCCTCCACACAGAAAGTAAGTCACCCTATACTTCTTCATCCTGTGCATATTCTTACAAGCAAATAATTAACATACTGCATTACAATAACTAGGCTATATATTTCTTCACTGTGTTCATGAAATTTGAACTTTTTAATTTAAAAGGCTATTTTCATGTATGAAGGTTTGAGTGTGCCGGACATAACTATATTTACTATATGATGCCATAGCAAGTCATCTCCAACTCCAGACCTTTACAACCTTTATTTCCTCCCTTTTTGGCCAGTTTAGATGCCCCAGTATGTAAAAGCTAATCATGACTTTCAACTTGACTGGTTTGAGAGATGTTTAGAACAGTACACTAGAACAAGAAGCCAAGCTCTCCCTGCAAGTCAGCACCATGTGCAGACCACTGCGGGAAAACCAGATGCCAGCCCTTTCCTGTGAGTGGCACCATTTACAGAGCATGGGGGAAGGGAACAAGAAGCCAATAAGGAACCAAGCACTTCTTATGAGTCAGTGCCATATGTGGTCATTGCAGGGCGAACTAGATGCCAGCCCCTTCTGGTATGTGGGCAGGGAGACAAGAAGAGTCAATGTTTTCCCCTGCCCCTCCTTCATAAGCAACGTGCTGATCCAAAGAAATACAGGATGTGATGATAGCTACTGAGGTAAAATATAACTTAATGCTTGTAGTGTTCAGTATTTCACTGACTTGCAGGCCTAAAGCCAGTAATCTGATCATCTTTTCAGAAGATAACAATACACAATGTAGCATCTATGGGGCATCTCCTTCTGAAGGCAGTAGCCATGGCCAATTCCCTATTATCACTGTCAAAGTCCTGTATCATTTTCATTATTTTGTTTGGTTTTATCTTGTTTGATTTTATTGTATCTGATGGCATGGGCAGCTATCTCAACGATAACAAGACATATTATGGTAGCTATTTTGGATGTACTATTAGCTTGAAATACTTTATTGTGTTCATTGGTTTGTTTTCATTGGTTCTATTTTGTTTTTTTTTTTTTGTTTGAGTATATCTGAAATTATAGGTAATTGTTTTGAAAACTCTAAGAGGCATTATGGTAACTGCTGTTGATTTCTTACTATCTTATTTTGAAATTGTATCCCTTACACTGTTTTGTTTTGATTGGCTTTATTCTGGTATATTTTCCTTGGTTTTGTTCCCTTTAAAATATAAATTATGAGAAAAAAAGAACAGTACACTTTCCAGTGATTGGGACCTGCATCTGGTACACGGCCTCCTGTCTATGGCTCTTCCCTCATTCTGTTTCCTGGCTGCCACAGAGGAAGCAGCCCTCTCCTGCCACACCCTTTCATCATGATGGTTCTGCTCTGCAAACAGTGGTCAACCATGGACTGAAACCTCTGAAACTGTAAACCAAAACTGTTGAGGTTTTTTTTTCCTTTAAACTGTGTCAAGCATTTCTTCCACTAACAGAAGAATGACAAATACATAGTATGCTCTTCTTTCTATGCTCTTATTTTATCTGCATTTCCTTCCAAATGATTTAAGCCCCGTCTGACTCAGTTTCCTCAGTTATAAAAGGGGACACAATAATGACATTTACCTCCTATCATGGAAAGGAGGAATTAGTGAGTGTATTCAATTTGGAAGAGCAGACTTCCTTTTCCCTTTCTGCCCTATTTAAATTTGGTAACACAAGGTCAGATTATTTCTCCTGGAAGCACAAACCAAGGCTCACTGTCTGGCTAATGTGTTCACAGTGCAATCCAGCTTGCCTGCCCTTCTAGCTTACATCTCATTCTTTTTTTTTTTTTCTTTTTTTTATCGGTACTGGGGATCAAACTCACGACTGCCTCCTTGCAAGGTAGGCGTTTATGCCGCTGAGCTAAATCCCCAGCCCCCTAGCTCACATCTCTTTTCTTTCTTTTCCTTTTCTTTGCTTTTTTTTTTTTTTTTTTTTTTTTTTTTTTTTTTTTTGACTCAAGAAGGAGGCAGAATGGCTTGATGTTTAATGCTAACATGAATCACAGCTTCTGGAATTCAATTAATGTTTGTTCAGTAAATGTGGAATGAATGATTAAATGATTTGATCAACAATGTGTGAAGATGTTCCGGCACTGCTGGGAAACCAAATGAAATAATGCAATTGTGAGGTACTTCACAATTTTCAAAACAGTTTGACAAAAAATATTCCAACGTGATTAAAATCCTGTAAAACAGAATAATTAAGGATTACCAGCATTTTACCAAGGTGGAAATGGTGGCTCCAAGAGACTAAAATATTTGCTCCAGGCCACAAAAAAATCAGAGTCAGTCTAATTAGTCTGTTTGTTTCCTGCCTGAGAAAAAGGTTATTTTTTTTCCTCTAAGCTTCTTCTTATGTTTTCCTATTATTTTAATGAATTAGTAGAATTTGGTTTATTACTGGCCTAAAAGATTTTGCTCAATACTATCCATTCATTAGTAAAAATACTGAGCAAAGCAACTTTGAAAATTGAGAGAATTACAGAGGTACTATTTGACTATTCTGTTTGGGGGGAAATTTGAGGCAGATGAAAGCTACTTGAAAGTACCGCATAGCTCACACAGTGATAAAGTTTAACAAAACAGTCCATCTGTACACTGTATTTCAATGTTCATTTCATAAAATTTACCTTTATCACAGACAGCATGACAGAGTTTATGTAAGTACTGTGAGAAATAATTATTGACACTTATTTTTTAATATAATGAAATTTTGATATTTGTGCATAATTTCCCTGTAAAAATCATGCACTTTCACTTACAAATGACAGGACAAGATTTAGCCTATCACACTTGTTAGAGAAGTGAGATAATTAAATGACTTGTCATAAGCCAATAAACTGTTATTGGTAAAATGAACTGATTTCATTGATTTCAATGAAAATTCATTCTCTGTCACATATAAAGTGTAATATACATGTAAGTAAATTCATATAATTCAGTGTTCTTGTAGAGATTGTAAAATGCCAACAATGGCTAAGAGACTACTGTGAAGACATGTAATATTCCTTGGTCTCATTTTACTCAATTATAAATCACACTTATGCTAATCTCTGGCTTTCTATCTGTCTTTAAACTGTTAATATTATACACCAATTGTCCAAGTCACTCATTCAATAGCAAATACAAAGAAAGCACTATCTTACTGGAAAAGAGTTGAAACATCAATCATTAGCATCTTACCATGACAAAAGATCCAAAATAGTCAAAACTGTATCACATAAAGGTAAACGCAATTTATGTTCTAATAGTAAGTTTTTAAAATTAACACAGCATTGCTCAGAAAACTTTTCTAATAAAAATGTAAACTTTTTTACCGTTAAGACCTTTATTTACTATAGAATTTGGTACACACAACTAAGAATTTGAAGAATTAACAATTTGGTGTATATAATAATACACATATTAGAAACCATACATGAATATATTTTGGTGATATCAAAGCAAAGAAAGTTATAATAATTGAATAAAACAGTTTACAATTAGGTCAATATGATGTCAACACATAATTTGTATTAAAGATCAGTGTAACGGACTTTCAGTTTGTGGGTGAGTGGGTTCATTCTTTCTTTCTAGTATCTGAATTTTTCTCTTCCTCTTTATCATTATCATCTTTTTTGTTTTTTTAATTAACCTTGGAATCATGTACTTTAAATTTCATATTCTAGATAACACTTTTTAAAGAATAATTTTATTATCTTTGAGGCACTAATGAAACACATCTGTATGAAGCATCATCAAGAAAACCAGGTAATATGCTAATTTTATATTGGAAGTGGAAATAAATAACTAAGCTGTCAAATTTAAGGTCATGAGAAAAAAATCAATATGACTTTCATTAGGGCAACATGGAAGATGGGAAAGCAATACACACATTTTGCTCAACAAATGACTGATCTTCTGGATATTTATCAGTGAATCATCAATACATATCACTATAATTCTTTAATATTTTGGGGATTATAGTATAGTCCCCACAGAGTGGTGTCTCAGTAACAAAAATAAATTTCCCCTTCACGTCACTGAAATAATTAAAAATTTTTGAGATGACTAACAACCAACAAAGGATTACTTTTAAGGTAAATCAATATTTATTAAGTGCCTACTGTATACTTAATAACATTTTAAAAATTAGTAAATTTTTGAAATACAGTGGTACATCTGCGCTGTACCTAACAATGGTTATTTTTTCAAAGATACCCAAAGTGACTGAGAACTTCTGGCTATCAGGGTAGAGGACTTAGCATACCATTCAATACTATCAAGTCTTGACTCAAGCCAGGTCTTTTCCTGAATTTTCTGTCTCACTCCTTAGTCTCCACCTGTCCCAGCCATTTACCACTCTCTCCTCAACATTCTATCACAGGTTCTCCTGATGCCCTTGTGCTTCATTCTCCTCTGTCTGAAATGATTGTAACTACTTGTAGCCTAATGACAGACAGAGAGAGAGACAGGAGAGAGAGAGAGAGAGAGAGAGAGAGAGAGAGAGAGAGAGAGAGAGAGATCCCAAATACAGAACCAAGTATAGTATCTTTAATAAATGCTAGCTGTGTTAATAAATTGCAAGGTAAGAATCTAGCACTGATTCCCAAATCTATAGGTAACTTACTAATGTGTGACTTCACCAAATTACTCAAAGCATGTATGCCTTACACTTTTCAGTTGCTGAACTGGAATAATATGAACTAGTTCTTAATTTGGATATGAAATGTATACCAAGTGCTTCAAACATAGCAATAATCCCATTAAGGTGAGATACTGTATTATAGTGACTGTTGTGCATCCAGGCACTTCTATATATTTCCAACCTATGAATCTTCAAAAGTGAATAGTGTCCTTTTTGCAATTTTATACATTTTTAAAACAGGACAAAAATATTAGGTCATTATACAAGGAACTCCTAATAAGGCACAGAATTGGGACTCAATCCCAGGCCTACTTCACTATGCAGCTCTCAGATGACTTTAAAAATTAAAGAAATATTAGAAGATACAAATCAAAGGCTCACTGACCAAAATTTAACAATAAGATTTCTCTGCTTTATAAATCAGTACTTCCTCTGTGGAATCTAAGAAGAAATTTCTCCTTAATTCATCTTTAATCAATTAATACAGCTAGAAGGAAAAAAAATCAGGACTTTTAGGCTTTGAGTTATCTTTGGAAATTCAGAACAACCCTGACATCCCCAGTGTTTCATTAGAGTTTCTAATACGCAGAGTTGCATACCTTCCAAGTAATTCCTACTTCTAACTCTCCTTTTTCATTTTGTCTTTCATTCTATTTATTTTAAACAAAAAACACCAGCTTTTCCTTTATTCTGCAGCCATCTGTTTTAACTAGAAAAGGCCATGGGCAAAAGGCCTGGCACATTCTGTATCAGAGTCTCTATGTAATGAAAAGAATGCTTTTCTTTTACATTTTTCCTGCTTAATGCACTAGTATTCAAAGCCTGGTTCTATTCAAAATATATGTCTTTGGAAAATGACAGATTTTTAAATAGTCCTTATCCAAACAGGAACAGAGAATATCTACACAATTGTCCAGAGATTATTAAGGGAGATACATGTTTTCTAACATTTAAATAAGTATAGGTTAACATATAGTTTATAAATGATAGGTACATTCCAAGATCATTATGTTCTCCAACTGTTTCTATTCATGTTGTATTTCTGTTATTTTTGTTCTAGGAACATGAATCCCAAAAGAAAGTACAGTGGATTGAGCATGTATAATCTGAAAATCCAAAATCTGATCATTTTGAGGACAGACACAATATCACAAGTGGCAATCCCACATGCAATCTCATGTGATGTGACTCAGAATGCAAGAACTTAGAATACACTGCACAAAATTACCTTCAGGTTATGTATACAACATGGAGATAAAATATAAATGCATTTCATGTGCGAACTTAGATTCCAGTCTCGAAATATTCCATTATATATGAACACACATTCCAAAACCAATAAAAATCCAAAATCAAGAACGCTGTGGTGCAAAGCATTTCAGATAAAGATGCTTAACTTGTATTTAAGATTCCTTTCTCACACAACTTTGTAAAGAGGCACTTCAACTACTAGGAAAAACAATGCCATTAATTCTTAGATTGAATTAATTCCCTTAAGTTAGATTTCATTCATGACCTAAGTGATATTGAATGTACTCTTATTTTCCTAAATCCAGATAAACAATATAATATGTTCATTAAAAAAGACAAGCTAGATATCTATAATGCCTAAGATCTAAATTCTTCCTGAATTTTCTTGCCTTAATAAATTATCACAAACTGGTTGGTTTAGAATAACAGAAACTGATTTTTTCACAATTATAGATTCAAGAATTCTGAGCCAGAGCTGTTGCAGGACTTGGTTCTTGTGGAGGCTCTGATGGAGAGCCTCTCTTCTATCCTCAGATGGCCTACTGGCAATGTGGCATTTCTTGGTATGTAGTCACATTATTCCAATAAATGTCTTCATTTTCACCTAGCATTCTCCTTGTGTACATATGAGTGCCAAAAGTTCTTTTCATAAGGACATCAGACATACTGGATGAGGGAACCAACATTATTCCAGTATGACTAATATTTTCTAATTACATCTGCAATGACCTATAAATAAAGTCAGATTCTGAAGTACTGGGGATCAGTATATAATTTCAAAATTACACAACTCAACTGCTCGACAAATAAATGTTAAAATTGGGCCAAGTTATCTATTTTGCTGTGTCCCGATTTCCTAACCTATGAAATGAACATGAGTACTCACTTTAAAGACTTAGATTGAATAACTGAAATACTAACAATGGTGCCAACAAAAAGAAGCACTCAAAAGAAATCTTGGTTTATACTACTTCATGTGGGAAGTTATTTCTGGGAAAATGGCCCATAGGAAAAAAATCTCTTTATAATTTTTATTAGCAAAATATTGAAATTCTTAGAATTCAGGTTTCTTAAAATGCCAGTTACTATTTTAAAAATATAAATATTATAAGTATATTTGTTTTGTTCTACAGTTTAGTAATCTGCTTTGACAGCACAATAATTGTGTGTCAAAGTTAGGTCAATACCAAGCACAATATTTGGCAGTACAAGTTTTCTTTAATTAAGTAAGCACACAGAAATAACAGATTAATATTTAGAATGCACTGAAAGTTTTGAAACCACATAAACCAGTTCACTAAAAGTTACTTTTTCAAGAAAAATTAGGTGGTGTCTTTTCTATATTCTCTCTTCTTCTATGCTACAGAATAATAGCCTTATTATGACAAAAGACGTTTCAAACCGTACTTGCAGACAATCAAATGTATTTTATCCTTTTGAAAAGTTGGCTTCAAGATTTTATTGTATGTACTTCTACATTGCTAACATTCTATTGACATAGGAGCCAAAAATGATACCTCTCTCCTGAGCTCAACCAAGAATTCCTACACAGTCTTAAGCAGGCAAAATTATATTGCCTACTTCTTGTGTTTACTTATTTTTAAGATAATAAAATTCTGAAATAAGTTATCTGGTGATAAGTGATTAGATATATGCTGAGTTTGAGGCCACTGATTATCCATCCCACTAGAGATGGTATTTTTAAAGAATTACTTGACCCATACCAAGTCCAATCTTTGTAAAGTTGTTTGTCACAGGGCACTATCCTTCTTATACTTCTGAAGCCTATGACTTAATCAAGATCCATCATATTTCCTCTTGCAGAACAGATTTTCTGTTGATAAATATAAGGACAGTAAATGATTGAAATTAGTTCTGCCCAGTGAGATTAAGAATTAATTCCAGGGGCTATCCTGGTTCTCATACTTGCCAAAGGCAGTTCTCTGGAATTCTAGTTTTTGTGCTATCCAATTGTCTTATAAATGAATTTCTTTGTTGTTTAGGTTACATAGTTTCAATTTCTATTGTCCATAAAGAATTCAAATGGTTTGGGGTGGGACCTCCAACTAGGATTTCTTTTTCTTTTCTTTTTTTAGGAAAGAAGGAAGCTTACTGTTTGTGGAAGTTTCAGTCCATAATCAGTTGGCTCCAAGGCAGGTTGACTAGAACGTCTTAAACACTTACACCTAAACCATGTAGAGTGCTTATGAAAAATTAACAGAACTAAACATTATCTCAAATACACTAAATCCAAACAATTGGCCTACACCTCAAGGATCTGTCATTTAAACAATTTTAAAGCCATTTTTGTCCAAACTAAGACTTGTTAATTGCTATGCTAGTTTTATACTGGGCGAGGGGACCCAATGTAGAAGAGGATCAGGTTTGGTTCAAATGGTGAGGTTTCTCATTAGGTACCTAAATTAAAACAATGTTCATTAATCAAGGTGCCCTATGTAGTGCGTAGCTTTGAAATATCAAGATAAATGTGTAAAAACAAATAATGAATAAAGACATTGTAGACACTCAATGTCTACAATGCCACAAAACTATATGAATAAAATATATTAAAGTGGACCATACTCCTTACAATCATAATCAACAATTTTTAGTTTAAAATACAAAATGGACACATAATCTATGAAAAGCAATTCTTTATAATATTTTTCTAAACAAACATTTATTCCTTTAAAACAGGCTAGAATTACTTATTTTGAATAGTTTTGATGCTAGTAGATGTTTTAAGACATCAGTAGAGGAATAATTATTAAAATATTTGCATTTTAAAATTCTAGGATTTTCTTGAAATTCTTCCCATTTATAAATACACAATCCTAACAGGCTTACAAGTAGCTTTCTTTTTCCTTTGTGGTTACTACATTACCCTGTCACCTTGTCAACTATTTAATGTCCATATAAATTCCATTAGTAAAATAAGTACTGGAATTTATGCTCCTTCCTTACCTTGGGGAGGTGGGATCAAAAAAAGATAAAGTGTAGCTTTAGAATTAATATGTACATTTGAAAATCATTTGGTCTTTTTCTTTATTTTTCCGAGTGTATCACACTCTCCATGACCCAGAGATACAGATTTATGAATGCCTTTAATGGGAGAGACTGCTGACTATAAAACGTATTCATGTTTTCCAGAGAAAAAGTCCTCCATAAAAACAAGACTGTATACCATCCCTTTATTTTTACGTTAGGACTGATTTAACATTGCTTCAAGCAATGTTATATTTGGAAAGCATAATGCAATATCACCTTAACTGTAGTTGAATAAGTAAAAAGGTATGCATTCTTTATAGTTCAAGATAGCAATAAAGTGAGGTACACAGAATAACATGAACCCCTGCACTTACGTAAAAAAGCAATTTAACTTTTCTAGAGCAAATAGCAGTGTTTCAGAGTATGTATATGTTTGTGTGCACACATGTATGTAGACAGATGGTATGAGTTGAATACAAGCAACTGCTGAAAAGTTATAGAACTGCAGAAATAGCCAGAGAGGATATTTTTAAATTTTATAAATAATCAATAACTCACAATTGATATATGAGACTTACTTAATCTAAATTTCTATGCATGACACTCATTTATACTTATTTAATTAATTTAAATCTTCAAATAGTAAGTTTGAGAATAACAGGGTAGGCAGGAGCAGAAACTGCTTCCATGTTTACTTGACATGGAAAGATAGCGCTTCTTCTATGGGTGTCTTTACACTTTATTTTAAGGAGAAATACTCATTAACTGTAGAATAACAATATTTAAGATTATAGTAGTACCAAAAAACAGAACAAGCAACTAACTAGGTCTTTTTTTTTCTGAGTATAATGAGCTTACACACCAAATCAATCCAGCTAACACAATCATATAAGACAGGCTGCTTGTTCAGTGGTTGAGAACACAGATCTTAACAAAAATTAAACTGTCTAGAATTTCAATCTTCACTTTTCTGGTTCTGTGATTTGCTGATTCTCTATGCTCTAATTTCTTTAACTATAAAATAAGAATTATATCCAATTTTACTCCTTTTTTCTGTACCATGTGGAGGTTTACTCCCTTTTATGTAAGTCTGCCAAATACAAAATCAAGAATCTTTTTCTATCTCCATTAAATTTTAGAAAAGGTATCTCATAACTTAAGTGAAACTACTAAATGGTTTTCATGAATAAATGACAATTAGCTGTCCTTTAAGAAGTAAAATGTACTTTGTCAGGAAACCTGTTTTCTCTTTTACAACCATGATAGAGTTGGGCTGGGATAACTTTCAAGTTCCAAAACACAGCCAGTAAGAGTCTGGGTTTAGCACTTGTTGATGAGATGATATAAGCATATACTTACTGACCTGGTTTCCTTTCGCTCTGTGAATCTGCTGTGGAGCTGCCGTCCCACTAGGTAGATCCATGTTACCTGTTTAGAAAGGGTTGGAACTTCAGCTCAAGATGGGAACAGAATTCCTGAACCAGCTGCTAATGCTAAATGCTCTACAAAGACAGAGAAAGTCCTTATGGAACTTCACCTTGTGAAAGCTCCAATATAGTTAAGGGTTTTGTTGGGTTTGTGTGGAGGGTAATCAATGGACCTTTCTTCAGAGAATGTTTTCTTCTGTTTTCTATGGTACAGAGTATATATCAGATTGATGCAATTTTCGAGGTCAATATGGTGAGGACAAGAGTTAACATTACAGTCTCCAAAACATCCACAACTGGAATTATCATCGTCATTTTAAAACCCTCTCCGGAGCCATGCTAGTCCCCCAATCTCCATCAGATTGTTTGTTCTTTCATTGCTTACATGTATCACCTCTTATGTTCTTAATTACAAACCAAGGGCTTCCATTTACCTCACAAGGAATTTGGAAATTTCTACTGATGCACTTATCTTAATTCAAAATATTTTTTCTTCAAATAAAGGAAGATTTCTCGCTAAGACATTCCTATTTGAGTATATTTACTTTGATTCCAATTATTCCAGCTTATAAATAAGGCTGAAAAGAAAATCCCTGTATGTAAATCTTGGCCAATCTTTTTGTTGCCATTTCCTTTGAATTTATATAGTGAAAGTAACAGATCCAAGTGTAGGAACATTTTTCAACATTCTACTTAATCACTTTCTCTACACTTTACATTTTTTGAAAGAAATGTTTGCTATCAGGATATCCTCTGTGGCATAATGTATTAACCTGAAGCCATAACTTATCTAGAAAATACAATTAAAAGAATAAGCAAAAGTCCTTACACATTAAAAACTGCATAAAACTGACAGATTTATAATTTGATATGCAGAAGACCCTAAAACCAACCAAACAAAACTAACTGAGAAAAAAATTCAATAAAGATAAAACTGTAACTTTCATCTGAGTCCAGGAGTGCACACCTGTAATTCCAGCTACTAGCAGGCTGAGGAAGGAAGACTGCCTGGGCAACTATCCCAAAAGGAAAGTAAAAACAGATGCAGGTGTAGCTCAGGCATAGAGGCCTCCTAGGTGTGATGCCTGGTACTACAAAACAAAACAAATCAGAACAAAAGAAAAGTAAATTCTTCCTTTGATGTATTAAGTGCTGAAGAATGACATTTTCTTTCACCAGGAGATTGATCCTGAACTCTCAAATTTCAACCCAATTTCAACTATGTTCTAACTTTTTCTAGTTAGGATTTTTCTCAGAACTGGGAAATATTAATGACTGTACATGTGGGGGTGTTTAAGATTCAACAACACCTGCAGTAAAGCCACTTGCATCCACTTTTATGTGGTCTTATTATCTGTGCTGATTGTTCCTCCGAGGCTTAAGCCTCTCTCTCCCCTTCTCTTTCTTCCACCTACAACTAGGCAGGTATTACCAATTCCTGCTCATGTCAATATCTGAGAAGTGGATTTGGATGATTTCGGTTTAAATTGCAAGGGAAGAAACACGATTTAAGACTGTGGTCCATTATTTACAATTCTACAACTGACCTCTTGTCAGGAAGCTTATGATTAGCGCACAAGCTGCTTTTACGTGATTTCTAAGTGGGTATTTTATTTTCTCATTTCCTATTCATCAATGTATTCATGACACTTCAGAACAAATCTCAGACAGGAAAGAATGCTGAAGAGAAAACACTAGGGTGGGCTGAACTGTATCTTGATATCCAAAAAACAATAAAAATAGTTAAAAGTCAACTGGGAGAAATAGTTGGAATTAATGTGACATATGTAATTTGCATATTAATAATTTAACCTTATAAAAGTAAAACTGTGTTTCAATTTAAGAATAGTTGGCAGAGATAAATAAAAAGTCAATTCATGTAAAATATCCCGCACCTTTGAACTGGACTGGAATAAGTTCATACTTTAAATTAGAAGTGGAGAGCAACTAAACTGAAAAAGTTAATCTTAAATTTCAAATACGTCAGTAAAAATGTATGATAAAGTTGTATGTATGCAAACTGATTATTAATCAGTTTTACCAGGGGATTGCTAATTTTTCAATTAATTTTTAAAATTCCATCATTTGTTATCAAGAGACCTGTAATTATTATAACTATTTTAGAAAAACTACACTCTTTTTTATGGGAACAGAGAGGAACAAAAAATGTTGGACATTAAAATAGGAGTATTATTGTAATTCAGAAACTAGATTGATAGTTTTCAATGAATTCTGACATTCTAAATGTGTAAATCTAAATGTCAACAGCTAATCTTGGGTAATCTGCTATTTGAATTATCTGCTTAGAAATAAAAAGTCCTGGCATGATTTTCACTTATATATGCTTTTAGAGGAACATTCTCAAATATAAAACACAAGGTCTTCCAAACTTTAACTTAACTAATTTCCAAAGACAAATATTAAAGAACACCAGTAATTTCCAAATTCTAAAACACTGTTAAAATCAAAATGTAACAAACTTGAGAAAGAGAAAATTACAACAAAGCAAGAATTTTACATGATAGGAGAAGACAAAAATGCAATGAAATATTTTAAATTATAGAAAAGTAAACCATAAGATTCTGTCAATTTTACAGTTACTTAAATATAAAAATACATTAATAGAGTAGGACATATATAACCTTTTAAAATACAATTTTCTGCTTTTATATTTTATATTTTTAAGGAGAACAATAAAACTTTCAATAAGAAGCCAAATCATAACACGTACTTACACATTCTATGCTCAGTGTAAAAATTGTTCATTTGGATTTTTGTCTTTAAATGTAGAATGTGCTAATGTTCCAATGCAGAAAAACTCATCAAATTTACTTAAAAATTGAGATCACCAGAGGAGTTACCCATCTTTATTCTCACAGTTTTCACATATACATGATAGTAAACCCTGATAAATATGAGACTCGTTGTAATTTCTCATGTGTAAATCAAGGTTATTTGTGAATTTTTAATATTTCATTTCATCTTTGCTATATTGCTGGTAGTGTCCTGACATTGGGTACATCTCTGCAATTTTGTAACACTGAGTGGGAATGAGGAAGATTTTATTTTATTGCTAGTAGTCACACAAAGTCATATCCAAACATGATTGAGATGAATACACTGAATATTTATTCTTAGTGCCTCTGTATCTTCTGAGATCCTTAGCAGCAGTACTTTTATAACTCTATACAGTTCAAATAATACTTTTTACATACATATTTTAATTATTTCATTGACACATAGTTCCATAAGCTAAATCTTAAAACTCTCAGAAGTTGAGAGGCAGTGGTTCACCTTTGTATTTCCTGTGCCCAGCCCAAGCAAGAAACATAATGGCAATATATTGCATTTATAAATGCAATATATAAATCAATGAATACATGAAATTGAACTAGTTGGAAAAGCCTGGAAAGTTTATAAAGAGACTGAGAACAAAAGTGTTGATTTCTAAAAAAACAAAATAAAAATGAATAAAAACTTCAGAGGTAAGCATATATTATAACGAAGACATATTTGAGAACCTGCAATAGTATCACATTGAAAAATTTATTTGATTTTAAAGCCTTGGTATCATTTTTAGGAAAAATATTGCTTAGCTCTAATTAATCTATTAAAATTTTAGAATGCTAATATATACAATAAATCCTTAAGTTTCTATATTTCTAGATACTAGGCATGTAGAAAAAATAAAAAATTGATTCATCCAACAATAGGTTTGTGCTTATGAACTAGCAAACATAATACAAGTTTTTCCATTTGCAATTTTTAATAAATAAATGACCAAATTAAAATGCTATTTTAATAAAGTATAGGATTTTAATAAAATATAGGAGCCGTATGTCCTCTAATCAACAAAATAAAGTTATTATAACACTATCAGACAATGTTACACTTTACGTGTGTTCTAGCATACTATAAAATAACATAATTGGAAGAGAGCAGCTTTTTAAAAGCCACATTAAAATAATGATGTATAATGACATTTCCAAATTTTCTTGATCTTTTTGTTCAGACAAAATTAAAGTCTCTTTCCAATCACTCCTTCATTAAAATGAGCATTAAAAATAGCAAAGGTGACAATTGCCTTCCTCCATGAAATGATCTAGTATTCTAAAACTTTTTTGGGTATTAAAATCTTGGTTGTTTCAATTTATTTTTCAGGCATTATACTGACAAATTATAGGCTGGTCCGAACAGAGGGAGCAAAACATTTCATTTCAGAAACTGATAGAATTGATTTATGATTTATGCACTGAAATATAACAGTTTCCTCATTTATTTGTTAACACATGTAATGACAAGCCCTACTAGTTATTTTCACTTGCATTCACCAGACAAATGATTTTATGTGTACTTTAATTTCAGAGAAAAATAAAATAAATTTTTAATATTGAAAAAGCTGATTCAACCAAGATTTTCTTCACTGGACATTTAGAGAAATCAAAGGGTCTTAATCATTTTATTCAATATATGTTATCAAAGAAAATCTTTAATCAACAGGCTCACTTTAAAAATACTACAAAAGGGGCTGGGGATTTAGCTCAGCGGCATAAGCACCTGCCTTGCAAGCAGGCGGTCATGAGTTCGATCCCTGGTACCGATAAAATGAAAAAGACAAAAAAAAAAAAACACAAAAAAACAAAAAACAAAAATACTACAAAAATGAAGCTTTTTCTCCACCTCTATTTTCTCTGATGTTTCATGTTTGCTGATACTTAGGCAATACATTATATTTAAAAATCCACTTATGTAACATGTCAATTCTCTGAATACCTCCGTTACTGGCCTCTATATAAGTGCTCTGAATATTTAACTGTAATTATTTTTAGCAATATTAAGTTCTCACAGCAATATTAAAATTGAAAATATTGGTCTCTACAAGAAAAACTAAGGTGTCTTTAAGATATAATTTAACTGAGTTTTGGAGGCA